TTTTTTTTTTTTTTTTTTTTTTTTCTCATTAGGTTTATTGGTACTTTTTAGGGTATATGGTATAGCTAGGGCATTCTTGCTTCAGAATCATCTTTTCTTTTAAAAATTTTTATTAATCCATGTTTGACAGTACAATTGATACAAGGGAAAATAAAACCCCCAACCTGCTAGATGTCAGATGTGCTGAGTTTGTATCCCCTGAAAGAGAAGAATGAATTTCAAAGGACAGAAGAGGTTAAGGGTAGGAAAGATTTATTAGGGAATAAGAATAGTTCCTGAGAGGTAGGAGGGGACTGGGAAGTGGGTTGCCACTGAGGCTCTTATTGGGATAATTTGTACAGCAAAGTCATAATGTGGGTACAACATGGGTCAAACTATAACCTATAGGACTAGAAGTATAGCTGCCTAGCCAATATTGGTCTAATAGGGAAGCAGGTCACATAGCAAGGGTACGTGGAAAGAACAGAGGCATTTTAGGGGGGAAGGGATGGGTCCAGATGCTTTGGTCACCAACCTGGGCAACTGATTCCTGTCTGGACTTTCTGGACCAGGTAAGGCCAATTATGGTATAATTCTGTGTTACTGCTTATTCCTTAGGGAGGCATGTAGTCCTGACCATTGTATCTTTTTCTTGAGGCCTGGTCGTCTTCAGATGTACCTCCAGCCACAATTCTGATACCTTTATTTTTTTTTTCCAGCTGACTCCCTTGAGAGCCCAGTCCCTCCAACTACATAGTAATTTCTAACTTAGCTGCCTATAATATTACGATTGCATTCATTGTGGGAAGTTGGTACATGGATGTAATACAGTTTAAATCTTGTTTATGGGGAACCTGACACTAAACCATTCTTTTGTTTTTTTCATTGTTAACCTACCCACTCCCCGGTGACTTTAGGAACTCTTTCATCCATTGTTCCTCTCTCACCATCCTTTAGTAAGATTACAATTTTAAGGAGTTAGTGATCATAGTGTTTAACTAAATGGTGACAATGCATGTCTTTAACTTTTAAATGATGATATAAGACTTTCTAGCCTTGTGAGACACTTGCATGTAGGAAGATGTTTATGGACAATGTTTTAGCTTTCACATACCTGGGTTACAGGCTAGACTTTCATCATTAGTTGTGATTGTGGGCAAAATACTTAACTGTTTTGGACTTTGGTTTCCATGTCTTTTTTGTTTGTTCGTTTTTGAGACAGGGTCTCGCTATGTAGCTCAGGCTGGCCTTGAACTCACTGTGTAGCCCAGACTGGCCTCGAACTCATGGCAATCCTCCTACCTTAGGCTCCGGAGTGCTGGGGTTACAGCTGTGCACCACCATGCTGGGCCCAGTTTCCACATCTTTAATGGAATTTTACAAATGGGATCTATTTTTATAATGGAATCTACTTTGTGAAGCAGTTGTGAAGATAATGAATATAAGTTGGTTTACACATAGCCAAACATAGAAAAACATATTTAGAAAATGTGACCTGTTAAAATACGTCTAGTAATAGTAATGGTCTTTGAAAAATACTCAGAAAGATCCCCATTGTCAGTGTTTAGGGGGTTTCAAATCTTATTTTAAAATAAAAATTTATTTACATATGAATCATAATTTAGCAATTCAAAAGAACAGTTTTGACTTAGACCCATTTTCCTTCATACAGGTAGAAAGTTGAACTGAATCAGATGAGCATTTCTTCTTTAGTGGCAAGTCTTGTGTGCTCAAGCTTAGTGACTTGCTTAGTTTAATGAGAATCATGTTCAGACTGTTTTTCAGTTGCCTTTGAATTTCATGATAACTGGGATCTGGTATTACACTAGAATTGGATGGGGTTTTGGAGGTTCTGAACATGTCAAATGTGATCAGTTGGTCAGCAGGCTTAAATTTAAGCCTGCTCTGAAATGCAATTCAGAAGAAGGAAGAAAATACAAAATAGTTTATTTCTAGGGTATAATTAAGTATATCATTACAGAATTTGAGAGGATATAAACTCCAAAAGTTCACAGAGAATGTGTGCGTAAGGCTGAATATGAATGTGGTATCACTTAATGGTCAAGAATATGATTCAGAATAGACCTTTTCTCTGTATTCTAGTGATTTACTGATGTCCAGTTTTCTTTCGTGATTGAACTGGTTGGTAGTAAAGTGAATGAAAACCAGCATCTTTTACTTCTTTTGTATGTGTTAGCATTAACTTTGACTTTGAGCTTGACTGAGACAATACTCTTGGACACCACTTGGTCTGGCTGAGAGCTCAGCTTTTTGTAAAGGGCCCAGAGGCACCTTTCTGTGATTCTAAAATGACTCCTATGTTGGAGAATGATGTCTGTTCAGCTGCTTGGAGCATGTAGTTCTTACAAGGAACAAATGCTGAATCCGAGAGCTAGTTTAGAAGAATATATTCAAGGCAGAATATTTAGTCTAAGCTTGTTAATTACTGTATATTCCTCTGTCCAGATTCTGAAAGTTTCAGGAGTTGAAAGACTGGTATGAATTTGGAGGTCTTGACTTCTAATTAAGTATAATAAATACTTCCCTTAGAGTACTTAGATCTGTGGGGTGGGATTTATCTTTAAAGGCAAGTATCGTTGTGGATATAAACAAATTTTTCCACTTAGCAAACTCTATTTTTAGTTACATCCATGGCTTTTGGACTGTAGGGAAAGTTTTGTTTCATTCTTCCTCTTGTCTGGAACATTCTTAGTCTAACATTGGCACATCCTGACCCTACTCTATACGGCAGGGCTGGCCTTAGCTCATGAACTATGCCTTTCAAGGGATATCAGGAAGCCACTCAGAATGCTCTTGCTTAGCTCTTTGCCCTGAATCTTAAGATACTGCCTCAGTTGAGAAGTGCTGAATGGATCCTAAGTGCAGTTAATGGTTCAGATAATGCTTGCACTATAGTTTCCTATCCTAGGGGCCAATTCCAAGCTTTTCAGATAAGCCTGGATGGATTATGATTATTTTACATTCTGCCATTGCTACCTCCTCTTATGGAAGTATAACCTCAAGCACATTCTGGGAAAGTTAAAGTAGGCATCAACTACAGGTTTAGAGAGTGCTTTGAAATGTTTGTTGAGACCTGGCCTTCATGTTAGAATTCATCAGTGTACATTCCTCTTTCTTTTTGGAGCTGATTTCTAGAAGACAGCTAACTAAACTATGTAAAGTGAGCTAGTCAAAACCATGTTTATTTGAGGGACTGGCTTTTCACATTTTCCTAGGTGAGTAAATTTATGGAATTCTACAGTGAGTTGGGCTGCTGTTATTTCTGGTTCAGCTCCTGAGCTAACACTGATAGTAATTCTCACTTGGAGTCAAGTACAGACTGTCCTGTCTCCTGTGCCTAGGAGTCTGCGTTCGAGGAGGGATTGTCTAATGGTAGACCACTGGGCTGTGGTTTGCCATAGGCACAGGAAAGAATGAGTGTCAGGCATAGTCTAATCTGAACTCAGAAACCTGCAGGAGAAATTTGCTACCTTTCAGCTGAAATCTGGACTGGCCCCCAAGAGAAAGTACCAGTAGGTCAATTAATACTTCTTGTTGAGGCTTACAAAAGACCTTGCATCTCTAACAAAATGCTTATGCATCCAAAAGAGAGAGATCCTGATCCTGACTTGGCACATAAACATACTGCCGCTTTTGATTATCCTTCATCATTCTCCTGAGTTTTGAAAAGGTAATGGTTTGTGCTGTAAGGAAAGAGGCTCTTCCCCAAGACATGAGGCTTTCTCGTTCCTTCCAGCCGGGCCCATTGCTCAAATGCTTTCCAGTGGGCTTGCTTTGCCTGGCCAGCACCTGGGCTGCCCCAGCTTGCAGTGGCCTGCCTTTGCTTCATAAGCTTCCCAGGGTGGTTCTTCTTCTAAAGGCTTGTATGAATTGCTATTACTGTCTCCTTATGGTTTAAAAATGAATCCTTTTTTGTTCTTTGCAACTCATTTGCTTTTTTCTTTTCTTTTCTTTTCTTTTAAATTACTATTAACACCTGTTGATTCTTTTTTTTTTTTTCTGGTTGGCCTTTCACTGCATTCCTGCTCCCCCTCCCTCTAGCTGGGTTTGACCCCTTTTGACTTTTTTTTTTTTCTGGTTGGCCTTTCACTGCATTCCTGCTCCCCCTCCCTCTAGCTGGGTTTGTCAAGTCGCCCATGTCAGAAACTAAGCTCACGGGGGACGCCTTTGAGCTGTACTGTGACGTGGTCGGGAGCCCCACGCCAGAGATCCAGTGGTGGTACGCAGAAGTCAACCGGGCAGAGTCTTTCAGACAGCTGTGGGACGGTGCTCGGAAGCGCCGTGTCACCGTAAACACCGCCTACGGGTCAAACGGCGTGAGTGTGCTGAGAATAACCCGGCTCACCTTGGAGGACTCTGGGACTTACGAGTGCAGGGCCAGCAACGACCCCAAGAGGAATGACTTGAGGCAAAACCCTTCTATAACATGGATTCGAGCCCAGGCCACCATAAGCGTCCTTCAGAGTGAGTCCAGCACCCTACAGTAGTAGTACTGTAGTCATAGAGGTGGCCCAATGACCCTTCCCTCTGCTTCCTTTCCCTTTTCCCCAGTATGATCGCTCACCCCACCCCTTGTCTTCGTTTTTCAAACCCACGACCCTTCTGGTTGTAGTGTATGAAAACATCTGTGGCGACTTCTCTTTGCTGTCCTCTCTGCCTCCCTTGTCCCCCAACCCTCCTCTGTGTCTTTCTCCTCAGGAACAAAGAACTTGAGGAATCCGTGATTGTCCAAAATCATCTGCGCTGGGAAGAGGTGGGGAGGGAAAACTGGGAACGTTACAAATTTTTTTTTGAAAAAAATAAAACAAAACAAAACAAAAAACCAGGCAGTCAAAATGAGGGTAGTGTTGAAATTGTTTATTTCCCTCTCCTTTAATTTTGTAGTAGGTTTCCTGCTATCCTTTTCCTGATTTCTTCCTTGGTGCCTATTTTTGTTTTTCTCCCCAATCTAACTACTTTTATATTGTGTGTTTATCTGTTTGAAGCTCTGAATAGCTGCCTTCACCTCTATGGTTTTAAGTTTGTGTCTGCCCAGCCTCTTCCCTCACCGTAACTTGGTGTCCCACTGTTTTGTGATGGGAATGTTGCCTTGGGTGCAGTGTGGTGATGTGTTTTGATTGTTGGGTGGCATGTAAGCTTGGATATTCCATAGTTCTGGCTCTTTTTCTTTTCTAAAGCAGTGGCATGTTTCTCTGACAGCAGCCCTCCACTGCAGGGAGAGACCTCCTCTCTGGGCCTCCCTATTCAGTCTCCTGAGATTTGTCTTTATATACCTTACCATTCAGTATTAGGTGACAACAGCTGCAATCTGCATATTATAATATATATTCCCCCACCTGCACCCCCAGTACTGGGGATTGAATCCATGACCTTTCCCTGAGCTGCATCCCCAGCCCAATTTTCATTTTGAGACAGGGTCTTGCAAGGTTGCCCACGACTGGCTCAAACTTGAAATCTTCCCACTTCAGCTGCTCAGAATGGTAGGCAAAATAATATATTTTTAAAACCCTATCACACTGTCTCAAAGTCTTTTTAACAGAGTTTCACCTGATTCCTGTTGACAGATAGTTTGGCTTTGATGAGGAACTTGGCACAGGAACCCTCATTCCAGAAGATGGTAACTCCCGAAGTAGTTTGGCTGCCATTCACACTAGCTGTCCTTTGTTTTTGAAAAAGGAGGAAATGAAGTTCAAACCTTGTTCCTTGTTCCTCTGAGTGAACAGCTGGGTTGAAATCCTCTTCATCTTTTGCAGTGGGAACAAGGAGACATCTGACACAGCAGCTTTGGAGCCTACTTCTCTTTCTGGAAAGTGACTGACTTTGGTAGGAAGGAGGGGGAAGTCACCACAGAACCAATGCTCCTGGCCAGGAAGAATTCCAGCCCTGCATTAGACCTGGTTATAGCTGAGGAAGAATTCCTATTTAATAGACGCCTTTACGTTTTTCACATTATGTTCAAGGGCTCAGTAAGACCTATAGCCACTTCTGTCTTAAAGAACCGATTGATTTAGACAGTGAGTAAAAGTAGTAAAACTATTTTTATGAGGAATTTGGTAATAACACAGGAGGTAAAATGATTTGGGCTTTGAATCTATATACGTAAATGAAAAATAGTGAATTAGTGCCTGATCTTTGTAACCAATGAGGGGGTGGGCCACAAAAGAAAAGCTTGAGAGGAGAGACCGGAAAATCTGCTGCAGTTGGCACTGTTGACTCAGAGAACCTGCTTCTGTGAAGGGGAAAAGAAAACCTTGTCTGTGTGAAAATGGGGAACATTAACCCAGCGATTTTTCTTTTCTTTTCTTTTTTTAACAATTTTTTTCCCTTGCACGCCTCCTTCTCCTGCCCCCTTGCTCCTTTCCTTAAAAAAGCAGAATTACCCAAATGGCCACAAATGTCTGCAGAAGTTTATAGGCATGGCCTGGGCTGGGCATTTGCTAATTTCCTTCCAAGGCCTGATTTACATCTTAGAAAGGCCATGAAAGCTAGAAAAACAAGGCTTTGGGAGTGCCTGCCTATCAATCCTGAGTATATAGCATCTCCCAATTGATTTAGAAATGCACTTCCCAATTTAAGGGTGTTTGCATGTGGTTGAATCAAACCTGGCTAGTCAGTCTCCCCAGACTTATCTATTCCACTTTAATCCAAGTTAGTGATTTTGGAGAGCCAGGCTGTTGGTGCTTTTTTTTTTTGTTTTAAAATATCCTAAATTAACTTTAACTGAATTGTTTTATGGTCTCAGGCATTCCCAGAGATATTGTTTCTATGGGGAGGTTAAAGTCTTCTAAAAATGACCTCCTGGTAATACTTCTCTCAGAGCTTTGAGTAATGTAAGGCAAAAAGAAAAATGTGCTTAGTGAGTGAATCTCGCTGGCCAAAGCATGTTCTTCACATGTGCACGATGGCTAGGGTAAGAGTCTCCTAGCCAGTGCTTCTAAACAGGAGTCAGTGGCAAGTAACAATGTTTGAGCCTCTCCTAAATGTTCCTCAGTCTTGGACTTTGGGCAGCACTCAGCCCTAGCAGTAAAATCCCCACCTTCATCCTGGTGCAGAATGCAGATATGGCACCATGGCCAGAGGAGCACAGTCTAGCACTGGCTTCCATATACAGCAGTCACAGGAGGAAGGGCACCCCGCAACCCTCCTGTGTTACAGAATCATATTTAAACCTGTTACATTATCTACTTGCTCCCAGCTGACTCTTCTGGATCTTTAACACTTAAGGGGAAAAGTGCTATCCTTTGCCTTCCAAGATTTCTTGGCAGAAAGTCTACCAGGTTGGTTTCATCAACTTCTTAATCTCCCTGAGCTTCAGTGGGCATTTGCATCACCACAGGTAAGAGTAGCATTTACTTTGGCCTCCTTGTATGTAAACATCTGGAAACTCTTGGCCTCGTTCTCAGAGTTCACCCTTTCTCGGTGCAGTCTGAGAGGAAGAACAGTCCCAAGTGGGACAGTGAAATTGGATAATAAAAATTTAGTAAAAACCTAAAAGTGTGTTTGGGTTTTAATGTTGCCTTGATATTTTTTAATTTCTATTTTGTGGAGTACTGGTTCTATCTTTTTCTCTTTTGTTTTTGCTTGGTTTTGATTTTTCTTGGAATTGTGATGCTTTCTGCTGATGGTGTGTGTGCGCCTTCCATTGCAGGGTTTGCAGCTGTTCTGCTCGACTTCTTAAAGCCCAGGGATTTGGCTTCTGTCCAGTGTGTCTTGGAAACCATGGGACACCACTGCGCTAACATGTTTACATGCATCTGCTTTTGTCATAGTGGCTGCTATGCCTCCATTATCTGTACATAGAAACTCTGTTTAATGTTACTGATAAGGACCAGTGCTGAATGGAAGATAACCTCTATCCTTTTGCCAGAATTGGAAATCAGAATAAATCTGTTAGTTGAGAAAATATAAGGATTTGCTTTATCACAAGTTTGAAATGCTATTGGCCAGGAGGACCTTAAGTCACTACATTTTCCAAGTAGCCCATGACTTCTGCATCCTTTTACCCTCCTGAACAACATGAATTCCAATGAAGGGAGACAGTCCTGTCTTCACCAATTCAGTCAGAACCACCCTGCATAAAGTGGTAAGGGGAAGTTGCTGCACAGATGTAGGAGTCAGGTAAGGAGAAATAAATCAGTTATGTGTTTTAGAGAAAGAATTAAGAGGAAAAAGAATAAGTATTTCTTATTGTGGATGGAAAAAGATGCTTAGTTTAGAATTCACCTGAAAATGTTTGATCAAAAGTAGAAAAAGAACTAAGCATGGGAAAGGATTAAAGACAAATGAAAAAACAAGGAATAAACAGACATGTTCTAACTAATATAGCAATGAATATTTCAAAATGCTTTAAAGATAAATTTCCATGAATGGTACAGTTTAACTTACTTAAAATTTTTCTTATCAGTGTGTTATATTTGACTCATAGGATACTTTTGAAGATAAACTGGTGATCCTATGTTATCTAAGCCCGGGATAGAACCAGAAAGTGAAGTACACACCTTGTTGTAGGGTGGAAGGTTGGGGTGGGGGTATTTTGGCATGGGGGTAGGGGTAGAGAGAGAATTCAGTCAAAATGGGTTTCTAAGCCCAGTTTTGCCACTAATAATAATTATGGCCTGCACAACTCATTTTATTTCTTAAGCCCTTAAAAGGGGGGCCGGGGTTCAGTAAGTTCTAAGGACCTTGCAGCTCCAAAATTCTAGGAGCCTATAATACCTAGACATACTGCACTCTCATATAATTGTATTATCTTAAAATGGAATGTGAAGTGCAACTCGGAAAAAATTGGAAATAAATATGGGCCAGAGAGAATAACTAATGGAATTTTTTCTCCTCAGTGTTCAGAAAATGAAGAGTTCCAGTGGGAAGTTTGCTTTTAGGATCTGGAATTTTCTGCATAAACAGCTATGGATCATTTGCCATAGGTTTAACAGATTTAAATGTAGGAAACAACACACATGTATCTAATTATACCTATTAGTATTTCAAGGCCCAGTGACTCCATAGGGAGTTTATTAGTTTTAAGCAATAATGCCTTTGTCTTTAAAATTGGAAGGTGGAGCCTGGTTTTATAATTGAAGCTGAATTGGTTGGTGGTTCATATATCATAAAAAGGTGGTATTCAAAATTATAAACGGTTTGTTGCCAGTCCGAGCACCTGTAATATTCCCATTCTTTCACATCTAGGCCAACTGGTCTTCAGGCTGTTGTCTGCGCTAGTGGTCATTTGCTTATAATCATTGTTTTTCCTTTCTTGACTCCTCCAAAGTGATAAAGTGAAAGTCCTCATGTAGTCCTGTCTGCCCTCCCTCTTCTAGTCTTCCCCTCCTACCCCACCCAAGTCAGGCCAGGGCTGCAGATGCTGGAAAGCTGTGGCCCCCTGTCATTATGCACTCTTATTACAGAGCCAAAGATTGTCACCAGTGAAGAGGTCATTATAAAGGAAAGCCCTGGCCCCATCACCCTGCAGTGTAACCTCACCTCCAGCTCTCATACCCTTACATTCAGCTACTGGACAAAGAATGGGGTAGAACTGACTGCCACTCGTAAGAATGCCAGCAACATGGAATACAGGTGAGCGGGGCTGGCAGCTCCTGGGAATGGGAAGGAGCGGAGATGAAATGACTTTGATGTTCCTGTTTCATATTGTCAGGAGTTTGTTTGCATCTACATGTTGAAATGATGAATTTGAGAATGTTATCTAAAAGATAGGCCCCAGGGCATGGTAGTGCATGCCTGTAAACCCAGCACTCAGGAGGCTGAGGCAGGAGGATTGCTGAGTTCAAGGCCAGCCTGAACTACATAATAAGACCCTATCTCAGAATAAAAAAGACATATTATGAATATTTATTACAGTGAATTGAACTGTTAACAAAATTATGACCACTGTAATGATGTATCCTCAACTTTTTTAAGGTCTTACCAATGCATTTCAGGATTTACTGGGAGTTGTCATGTGCATGTTGAAAAGATGAATCTAAGAATGTTTCTTTAAAAATGCACTGTGAACTCTTTATTTCTGGGAACTGAACTATACCAAACTATGAACTTTGACATGAGATATATTTGGTCCTCATCTGCATAGTTAATTCAGTATCTCTGAAGTGAGGTCCAGGAATCTATAAAAAACTCTTGAGATCATTCTAGCAAGTAGCTAGGTTGAGAACCATCAGTAATCTCCCTGTGGTAAAAGACTGGGTAGAAGGGAGTGCCTTACTCCAGGTAGCCATGAGAGTCACTGGTAGGGTCATCAGTAGAATGCAGGCCTCTGACTCACTCTAGTGCTTGAAGGGATCAGAGTGAAGTGGGCACCTACTGAGTTACCTTTTAGGAGCCTTATCAGGCCCAGCAGGCCCAGGATCTGGAATGAGGAAGGTTACCTGGAAATAACCACTGAAGAATGAGGAATGTTTGTAGGCCTTAGTTACTACGCACCCAAACAGCTGGTGCTTTTTGGAATATCTGGAACACACAGCACCTCATTTTTCAGACTTTCTATTTGGAAACCAGTCTGGAAAAGGATCAGCTAATCCTGCTTGGCAGGTTGATAGAGTGCAGAGAGAGCCCTGGACTGAGGCCAGGAGACCCTGTGTACCCAGCAGTAGCAAGGGCATCTACAGTGTTTACAGCTTTGAGAACTTTGACACCCTTCAGGCGAGCCACAGGGGTTCATAGATTTTGTTTCTCTTTCTTTAGGTGAAAAAACTAAGCCCCAAAGAATAACTTTTGACTGGTTTGAAGACCAGGTACCTTATCTGCTAAGTTTTAGAGCCAAAGCAAAGTTCTCAATCTTCTGACTTTCTACAGAATTTTTTTCCCTGCTGCTGTACCAGTACCACTTAGTGGCAAGTTAATTAACTATCTCCACTGTAGTTTCTTCTGATATCAAAGTGGAGATATGGCCTCAGCTATATCCTCATAGTTTGGAAAGGATTAATCAGAGATGTTAGTAGACAAAAGGTAATCCTAGTCTGCTTATCAGATTTTACATAGATAATTTAAAAAATAGTACTTGTTTCAAGGTAGCAGACATCCAGTGATATTGGGGTATAGGGGGTCTTGCACTGTTGTCCACAAAGCTTTGAGGTAAAGCTTCATGGCTTTATGCCTCTTCTTTTTTCATGGTTTTGTTTATCCTGTGATACTCTGCATCTCTTAAGAGTTTTTCAGAGATTCCGCATTTGTGGAATAACAATTTAGGAGTCTCTTGGGCTACTCATTTATAGAGCCACGTTCAGAAACCTGCATCTGCCTAGCTTGTAGGGATTCTGTGTGTTTCATTTCCTTCCCAGTGTCTAATTGAAGGGAATGGTGTGTGAAGATCCTGAGCCCATGGGTGTGGCCTCAAGCTAGGGTGGATATGGTGCCCCCCCACCCTTATCTAGGGGAATTTAGAGTCAGTCTGGGCCCTAAATAGGGTTCCTCCAACACACTGAAATACTTGTTATGAAGAGCAGCTGGTCTCTGTCTATGCCTATTGGGAGCACGTTAGTTTTTAAGATAAGGTGTTTGTGTCAAATTGAGAAGACATCTTGACTGTTCCTATTAGAATATTATGCTGCAGCTGGGCATGGTAGCGCATGCCTGTAATCCTAGCACTTGGGAGGCTGAGGTAGGAGGATTGCCACAACTTTGATGGCAGCCTGGGCTACATAGCTCAAAAAACAAAATAAAACAGAAGAATATGTTGCTGTGGACATGCCAAGACAGGCTTGGGGTGGGTTATGCCTCACTTCATCCATAATGAGTCATTCATGTCAACACCTAGCTCTGTATCTCTCCCTCTCTGTTTGCAGTGTGTAATAGTTCAAAAATTTTTCTATTTGGTAATTTTCAGTCTCTTTACTCTCTTTTTCCCCTTTCTCTTTCCCCAGATAGTCTGTCTCATTCAGTCTCTTAACCTGTGCTTTTTTTTTTCCCCCATAATGAACAGTAAGCTAGGTACATGCTTGAGCCAGTTAGTGGATGAGATTCGTTTTTTTTTATTAGATATTAGTACAATAGAGATTGGATCATAACAAGTCTCATATTTTGACTGATAAGCAACAGAGCAGGAGTCTAACCCTATCTAAATATTTATACCTAATCTGGAAGCTACTGATTTTCTATTTTCTGTAATTACTCACTAGCCTTTCTGCACATTTGGTGTGTTTATACACCAGAGTGTGCTGAGGTGGTGTGAAGTTGCCCCTCAGAGGCAAAAAGGCTTGTTTTTTGATTTCTTGTGAGATTGAGAGGAGGTGCTGTTAGGGTCACACTGCATATCGTATGTCCTTCCTTTTACTCTGCTTAAATTGGTCTGGATCTCTGAACAATTCTTCATTCTGAATGTGTTCATTTAGTCATTTGTTTATTGATTTCCCACTGTACTGCAGGCACACAGGTAGGTGCTGGGTTTCTAACTGCACCAATTAAATAGGATCTACCCACACGGAAGTTGGTCCATTAGGAAGTGAACGTGAATCAAGCAGTCACATACATACATATGTAACTGCATGTTGTGATGGACACACTGAAGAATCAGAATTGTGTGAGAAAGAAGGATAATGGAGGGTGGAAAGGAGAGTGACAGGGAAGCCCAGACCTGATGGCAAAGGAGCTAGTAGGCTAAGAATGATGGGAAGAATATTTTGTGTAAAGAAAAATCTTTTGTGAGGATCTGGCTTAGGAACAAGCTTGACACATTGAAGAGAGCCTAACAGAGCTGGACAATGCATGGATGAGTCTAAGGAGAGGAGGCAGGGGCCAGATCTGGAAGGGCATTGGCGTTTATGATAAGTAAGGCCTTTCTTTCTTAAGCTGCATCTCTGTGGCTGATGCTCTGTTGTCAGATTTGGCTGCTTGCTTTAAAAAAATAAAAAGAAAAAACAAGTATGCCTGGATCCCGTTAGTGAGAAACTTACCAAAGGGCATGATACTAAGTATTTAGGTCTTTAGGAAGGCTCAGAAAAGGCTATTTTTTTTCCTGTTCTTATCTGACTAAACTATGAGGCAAGACGTTTTTAGTGATGGCTCCATCCAGTAGATCTGAGTAAAAATTGTAATACTTGGTATGGCCTTCATTTTGATTACTTATTTTTGCAGTTTTTTCCTCCTAATAGACTAGAGCATGTTAATATTATGGCCATGAGTCATTCCTTCTCTGTGTTCCTGTTGTCCGTAAGTCATTAATGTTTTGGATGCACAGAGGGAAGTTTTTACTTTTAGTTAGGAACAGGTCATTTGAGTTAAGGAGTAGGATTTGTAGAACAAGGTCCCTCCCTGATGCTCCCTTTGAGTTTCCTTTTGCTGTATATTTTCACCATACTCAAGTTACCTCACTTTGTTTTTCTTCTCATCTCTGCAGGATTAATAAGCCGAGAGCTGAGGATTCAGGCGAATACCACTGTGTATATCATTTTTTCAGCGCGCCTAAAGCAAATGCCACCATTGAAGTAAAAGGTACAAACTGGCAGAAATTGTGGGTTAGCCTCTCATTCCTGCTAAGATATCTCCTCGGTCTGGATTAAGTCGTCAAGCTCTTACTGTTTCCATTTTGAGATGTAATGTAATGTTATGGTTAGGACCAGATTCAGGAGCCGGGCTGCCTGGGTTTAAATCTCAACCCCATCATATCCTAGCTGCGTGACATAGGCAGGTTTCTAGCTTCTCTATGCTTCTGCTTTCTTGTTTGTAAAATGAGGATATCATAGTGTTTTACCTCATGAGTTTGATAGAAGGCTTAAGTAAGCTTATATATATAGTGGGTTGGACTATACAGAGCAGTTTTTGCAATTCAGACATTATTAAAAATTGGCAACTCATATGGCCCAACCTCATGTAAAAACTCTTAGATCAGTGCTTTACACGTTATAACATGGGTCTTAGTGGGTTGGTAGGATTGAGTAAAGTACAGCATGCAAGGTGAATATAAACTGTTTGTGGGTAATTCATAAGAAATTTAATAGAAAACCTATGGGTTTTCATCTTAGAAGTGAGGCTATAGTGGAAAGTTTTAAGAAGGGAAAATTATAAAAATTAAGAGTTACTTAACATTATTCATGTCAGCTTTCCCATGGTATTCACAGGAAGCAGCTAAGACAGAGAAGGAAACCACCAGCTGTGTATTCTGCCATGAGCTAATGGCAGAGCTACCATAGAGCCCAAGTCTTGACTCCCTGTCTGTTGTTGTTCCCACTGTCATAATGTGACCGGGGGAGGCAGGGCTTCTGTTTGAAGTCAGACTGAAGAGATGAGGTTTAAATTTTTCATTGTTTTTCATTTGCTTAGGAAGGACACACATTTCTTCTTTACATCCATAGTATCATCTCAAGAAACTGGATGGACAGATTTAGGAAAAAGAACCTATTTAACAGGTATTCAGGTTTCCTTAAAATAGTTGGAGGATTAAAAATCCCGATTTGGGCTGGGTGACGTAGCTCAGTGGTTATAGGCTAACCCAGCTAATAAAACAAAATTTGAAGAAAGGCTTAGTCACTTTCAGAGTTTCCATCATATGGTAAGAAATGAAATATCTTTGTGATCTCACTGTAATTTGTGAGTGGAGGAAGGGACAGCTGGTGCCTCTTTGGGCTGCCAGATTTAACTCTGAATGCCCGGGGTGGGGTAGGGAGTGGAATCACAGTGCTTACAGGTCACACAGGCCAGAGCCTAACTTCCTCAGTGGCTTTTCTTGGAGACATCTAGCGGCCTTTCTGGTTTTGAAGAATGTCACATTTGTGCAACATGAGGATGAGAGGAAAATGTTTTCTTCAGGATGGCAGAGGCCTCCTCCACTTAGGTGAGCTGAGCTGTGTGGAGGCTTCCACATAGGAAACTTGAGGCCCTGCAGCGTCTGGGCTGAGCTGTTGGCAGAGTCCAAGGAGCAGACAGGACGGTGAAGGAGGGAGAGTGATATGTCCAGCTGGTGCTCTCTCTCATGCCCAGGGAATGAATAATTACTGCACACAGCTGCAAGTCTTGGCTGACTGTGATCCTTATGGGTTGGGAGGTAATCCTTTCTAAGAGTGGAAGCAAGAGGTTTTTTTCATTGGTTTGGCTGCTATAGAAGGTAGAGTTCAGCCCCAGAGTCATCAGTTTTCACCTTCACATATGAAACAGTAGTGGAAAGGGGCAGAGAATAGGCAGTTGTAGGCAAAGCAGTGCTTCTGATTTTCAGATGGAAGTTAGAGCTTGAGTGGCATCTTCCATGGTGCCATACTCAAGGTGCTGCCTGCTCTGTTGCACTTCTAGGGTGTCACAGCCCTGGGGAAAGGTGGAGCAGGTGCTGGTATCCTGGCTTAAAGAAGTATTCAAATTATATTTTATGCAATCCTAATGCATATTTTGTGACTATGTTGGATGTATATAGTGCATTTTCTGTCAGGGAAATTCATATGGAATTTCTTCCTCTTCTTTTCCCCTAACACCTGGACTGAAAGCTTAATGTCCTGGTCTTTCAGGTTCTGGATCTTTGAGTCTGGTAAAGGCTATGAACATTGGGCCTTTTCTGCATAAGTTGAAAAGGTTTGCACATTCCCAGGACAATATTCTAAGCTAGCTTTTAATTGTGGTTGGGTAGAAAACTTGCCTTACATTTAGAGTGAAGTGTGTGTTAACTCTCAAACCACTGTCATACATACTCTCGTTTTATTCCCTCAGAGCCTCCAGGGTGGAGTTAGTTATCTTTTTATAGCTACAGTGATTGGGAGAGTAATGAGTATGAGGTGATTGTACTTGACAGAAGAGATATATTGACCTCTTTACTGAAAGGAGTCCCTGAGAATCTTCTTGCTTTATGGCTTTTGCTGAGCCAGTACTTCATAGCAAAAAGATAGTTCTTTGGCACTTACTCTGAATTCAGCCCATTTCCTCCCCATCTGGCTTTTCCTGGCTTTCAGAACATAGCAAGGGAGTTGTTTGGGCTCAGCACTGTGGAGAGTGAAGGACTCAGCTTAGTCAGGAACCGGGCACTATGTATCTACCTGTAGTAGTGATGATCTTGCATCTGAAGTAAGTTTTGTTCCACTTTTTTTTTAATACCAGGGATCAAATGGGCCCTTGTGCTTGCGAGGCAGGTGGCGAAACCACTGAGCCAAATCCCAAATCCCCAGTTCCTCCACTTTTTTTTAAAGGACAGGAATGAGGCATGCAGGAAATTGGGATTACTCTTAAGGTTTATGTTTCTCAGGTATTTGGCATTGACCTTGTGTGGTGGTGAAAGCAGAGCCAGGCTGGTCAGGACAAAGGAAACAGTCTGAAGCCTGGCTTTTCTGGGATCTGCCTCCCTCACTTCTTGACATTTCAGAGGTGGTGGCTTCCAGACTCTATACCTTGTAGGGGATGTGTGAATTAGTAGATGTTGAAAATGTCTAACCCTGTATTGTATTCTTCAGCCTTCTGCCCTTTATTCCCTCTGTCTTCCTCTTCCTTCCTTTTATGACATTAAAATATATGCTCATAAAAGAAACTTAATATTTCTATTTAATTTACAAAGTAAAAAGTAAAATTTTCTCTCATGATTTCCAAGCCCTATTCTCATTTCTCCATTCGTTTAATACAGCACATAAGTAGTTATTTTTTATTGCCATTTTTGAAAAATGCCTATTGCGTGAGGTGCAGCCCATTCAGAAAGGTATGGAGCTATGGACTTGTCAGAGCCATCTCTCTGTGCTTACTAGGTATTTCTAATGAGTTTGTGGCAACAAAAGTCATATTGGTCTTGTTTTTCCCCTCCCAGTTACTAGTTTTCTTTGCATTTTCATGTTTTTTTAGGACTAAATGTTAGGATTTCTAGAAAAGGGTTTGCTTTGATTCTATTTGCTGTTGTACAAATGCTGTACAGACGACATGTCTTAAAGAGTCTAGACCAGCTGAGGTGGACTGTGGGGATGATGAATATCACTGAGAGAGGAACAATACACATCTCACATTTGTGCAGCACTTTTAGAGTCTGGGCAACAGCATGTTTACAGATATTTCTTGCTATTTCTTAACAGACCACCTTCCGTAGTGATAACAAGAATAGCTAACATTACACTTACTACTGTAGGCACTGTTTGGTCCTTCTTCAGTCTTCATAACTGCACAGGATAAATTCTGTTGTTATCTTGCAGTAGGGGGGTTTGAACAGGGGACCTTCAAACTGAGCTACATCTCCAGGCCGTACCCCACCTCCCCTTTTGCTATGTGTATTCTTGGTTTTTTGTTTGTTTGTTTTTAACATGTATGCTTTTTAATTGAAGGGTTACTCAGTAATTTGTTTTGTTTTGGTTTTTTTTTTTTTTTTGAGACAGGGTCTCACTATATAGTTGAGACTGACCTGGAACTCACCATGTAGCCCAGGCTGGTCCGGAACTCACAGCAATCCTCCTGCCTCAGCCTCCCGAGTGCTGGGATTACAGACATGCACCACCACGTCTGGCTACTCAGTGATTTTTAAGTACATAAAATCACTAATTTTAAATGTGTTTAAAAATACACATATATCTGTTTACAACAGTAATACCACCCACATCAAGATATTGAACAAAAATCTTATATATGAATGCCACAATCTTAAATGTGAAATTTCTTATAATATCCTTATTTCTGCCTAATAAAAATGTTACTCTCAATTTCTCTGACCTGTGAGTTTCTATTACCTTTAAACCCATTAACTTTTGTTTTATACAAATGTATCTTGAGTCAGAGACTGATTTTTTTTTTTTTTTTTACTCAATTTGGACTTACTCTATTTATTTGGTACTGGGGATCAAACTCAGGACCTTGTGCTTGTGAGGCAGGTGGCAGAACCACTGAGCTAAATCCCCAGCCCAATTTGGACTTTATTAATTGTGAATTTAACAGTTTACAGGTATAAGTCACCTTTACCTCTGTCAGTATCTTCTATGCAAATTTTAACATTTCCTTGATATTTTTCTTTGGCTACTTTTCCTTGGTTTTTCACTTGTTTCCAATTCCAGAAACTTAGAATGTATATAGTCTATTTTTGTCCACAACTCAATGACAAATTGACTAATATGAATGATCATCTGATGCAGTAATTATTGGTTCTCCCAATTTAGTATTTCAGCATGTCCACCCCTCTAACCAGTGCTTTGGAAATTTTCTCCTTAACATTATCAGAATTAACATTACGAATTTGTTAGTTTTTTCCTTTTACAGGAAACAGAACTGTACCATTTCCAAATGTCTTTTCAGTACTTGTGCCCATAGTGACAGAGCACTTTTATCTGACATACATTTGGCCTAACAATATGTATCTTTATCTGTAACATTATATGCAAAAATAAAACAGTATTTGTCCAGTACATTGAATATTTGGTATGTACTTTGACAGTTTAAAACTATGTAAACTGAAAATTTTAGATATAGCTTACAGATCTGTTTTGCATTTAGGTTTATTACTTTATATGTAACAATTTTAGACATCATGCTTAATTAGTTGTAACCATCAAATCTTTCATATAATTATGTCTCTACTCTTTAATTTTTCTGTTGGCTGTAGTAAATCAGCAAAATTTTCAAAGAAGATTCTTGGTCAATATCCTTTTTTGGGGGGTGGGTACTGGGGATTGAACTCGGGTTCTTGCGCTTGCGAGGCAGGCAGTGGAGTCAATATAGTTTTTGAACCTCTTAGCGTCTGAGAATTCCAGTTACCCATCATACACAGATGCTAACTTGGTAGGGTCTATAATTCTTGATTCTATGTTGTTGTTATTGCTAGCTCATACCTTTGCCCACCCATTTTCCTCTCTTGGGGACAGTCCCTGCTTGTAGTCCCTGGCTTCCAATGCTGGAGCAGAAGATAGGTTGGAGCTTTTGCTAAATTCATCTGATGTGTGGCCTGGGTAACTAGATGCTGAAAAAGCCCGTCACTTGATTATAATGTGCAGCCACCCTTGAGAACACTGAGAGGAAATGTCCACACTTTCTCAGTGGTCTCACCTACAGATTGCAGTGATAGTCCTAGATTGCTGTCAGCCTCCACAACCAAGAGAATGTGCCTCTGTGTGGAGAAGGCTTGTTGAGCCAAAAGCCTCATTTTGTTTCCATCCAGACCAGCCTCATAGTCGTTCTGGGGCTTAGCCCTTGACTAGCAGTAAACCTTAAGTTCTTCCTCTGCCTTTAGTCAAGTCTTTATTTTGCCTATAGCAAAGATAAGATGTCCCGGGGTTAGAAAGGTTGCATAAAGGAAGCAAAAAAGACTGCAAAATTAGAGCGTTTACTTGGAAACAGCCAACTTGTGGACAACCTTAAATGATAGGGTTTTAAAATGAGTTGCCAGGTTGTAAGTTTGCTTTGAAAAGCGAGCACTAAACAGGCAGTCTGTGTAGACCTAGTGAAGAAGTGGACACTGCTCTGAGTGCAGGTCAGTCAGGCAGCAGGTGCCACTGAAAGGCAGGCATTTGTCCTCAGCCAAAGGCCCAGACTATCCAGATAATAAAATTGGGTCAAGTGCTGTTGGGTAGCTAAGACTCTTTAGGGACCCTGCATGGCTCTTCATTAGGATGCTAGAAGAATGTCATTAATGTGCCTGGAGTGTGAAACTGACAAGGCCACAAAATGAGTCTGTTCCCAGGTGAATTCTTCTAAGGGTCCTTTGGTTGCTTTCTTCTCCTTATTCTTGTGGCTCAGCCGTGCCCCCCTCCCAGGGGAAGGGAAGGAAAGAATTTGTGCTGTGTTTCTTTCATGATATGGAAGCTTAGTCAGACTCCTCACAACTGTTTCTAGACAGTAGAACCAGGTTAAGCAGTCCCTTGTTAAATGGCAAGCCTGTTGTACAAGGTGAGTCACGAATAAGAGCCACCAATTTATAATTTGTCAGTATCTGACCTGGTTAAACTTTACTAGAGCAAAAATAAGAGTCCTGTTTATAGTAGTATCAGCAGATGGGAGGACAGCATATCATATGATAATCAGCATCTCTTTTTCCTTTCCCTGACTGGCTGTTTAGGTGTTTATTTCAGACCTTGATCTCTAACCTTGTGTAGAATAGTACAAAAGTATCATTTAATCCTCACAAGACTTCTGGCAATTATGTGAGTCTTATTCCTATTTTACTAAAGTAAATACTGACACTCCAAGATTTTAAAGAACCAGCCCTAGATTACCCAGTGAATGTGAAGTAGAGCCTCAGATGGTCCAGATTTCTCTGGCTTTAAGTCCAAAGTTGTGTTTTTTACATTATTGTATGTGGCATTAACTCTGTTAGGTAAACTAGCCCCCTCAGGCCCAGGGAGTCCTATACATCTACAAGTGGGTAGTCTGTTGTATAGTTACAATAATGCATATTGTATTTTAAAAATTATGTGTTCTTGTTTGATTTTTTTTTTTAATTTTTTTTCTTAGGAAGAAGATACACGGTGTATGCATGATCTCTGGAGTTAGATAGCCTTGAATTGGATTACAGTTTTACCATTTACTAATAGTATAATTTTAGATGTTAAATAACTTTTCCAAACTTCGGTCTTCCAATTTGTGAAACTGGGTTAATACCAGCCCTTCCCCTTTCCTATTTCTGACCTTTTCAGCCCATTTCCTTGCAGAATAGTGACCAGTAGAGGCTGTGGAACTGTATATGCCAACTAAACTTGCAGTTTTGTAGGCAGTGACCGGTTTGAGGACAAGTCCCCAAAGCAAAAGCTGATAGTATCGAATGCACAGTGCTAATGGCATTTCTCAAATAACTGGCCCAGAGTGGGTGTTCTTTTAGGGGCAAAGGAGAATGAAAATGGGAAAATATACCACATGCAAACTGATTTCTGAAAATTCTGTCTCAACCCAAGCCCATATCCCTGAGCATCAGACTTGATACTCAGCTGCCTATTAGTTAAGAGTTTTCTGCAGTATTCTTTATCTCAGTAACTGGCAAGTCCACTCTTGGCAGTTACTTAGGCCAAAACCTCAGAGTCATCCATGATTCCTTTTTCTCTCATGTCCTACATCCAAGTTCATTAACAGCTGTATTAATTTTGTATTAACCTACAAAATATGTCCAGGATCTCTGTGCCCCTGTGCAGACCCCCTCTCCTATATGGATTACACAAGTGACCACCTGTTCGTGTAGTTAAAACCAGACTCAGTACTGTCACCAGTGGCTCCTGGCAGACTCATTTTATAAATGCCAGAGTTGTTCCAGTGACCTACAAAGTCCTGACTGATTTGGATCCCCAGTTGGTCTTAATTCTACTGTCTTCCTTACTGTGTTCCAACCAAACTCCTCTTCACTGCTTCTCATATAACAACCACACAAGAACCTCAAGGCCTTTGCTTATCTCTCCAGAGTGTTCTTCCTGCACATATTGTGACCTACCTTATTTTCTTCACAACTATGCTAAAGTACACTTCATCAGAAAGGCCTTTCTTGACTCCTCTGTGATGCACCTGCCCTGTAGGAGTTGCTCAGCAAATGAATCAGCATGGGGTAGTTTTCCTGTTCTTCTGCACAGTGTCTCCTGGCCTTGCCATGATGGTGTTTTGGTTATGGTATAGTGATAGAGCTTACTCTTTAATATGTTTTGACTATAGACAGCTCTGAAGAATGGTGAACAGTAGGCTTGAAAAGTGGCTGTGGAAAGTTTGGCTTAGGAGAGATAGAGCCAGCCTGACTACTTCCTTGGTGGTAAATAATTTTGACTGGAAAAACAAAATGTTTCTTTATAACTTCCAGGCTAGAAAACATTCCATACTGAGTTGGTGCTGAGTGGGCCTCAGTTTGGCAGTGACTGATTGATTACAGGAGCAAGCTGGAGGTCTTCCTGCTTCATTCCTAACCAGGTATCCCTGGAAGTTGAGTACAGAAGCAAGTTGGACCTCAGTAGCATAGTCTGTGAAAAATAGGATTTTGGATTGTTTCTAAGACAAGAAAAGCCAAGCTAGTCAAAAGTAATATGGGGCGGGGGTAATACATGGGCTATGCATGATTTAGTACAATTCAACTGGAGTTTGCAGTTTCAAAGTGAGTATTTTGACATTTATGTATCTTCAAGAACACTGGGAGACAGGCAAGGTTGATAATTATCCCCATTTGATAATGAATATAGAATCAGAGAGCCAGCAAAGCTGGAGTTTGGACCAAAGTCTATTGATTATTTTCCTCATCTTGGCCAGCACAGTGATTTCTGGCCTACTTTGAATTTCACTGCTTTTAAGTAACTGATCAGGCATTAATTTAAAATATAGTTATAATAAAAGGTTATATTGAAAGAGCCCATCTCATGCTCCTTGGATCTTTGAAACTGATCTAATTTTTAAATTATAGCTGCTATTTATTTCTTCCTAAGTGATCCCTAAAATTAGAGAAGACACAGTAGTCTCTGGCACGTGTGGAAATTCTTCCAAGATTGGATTCATTGAGATTGTTGCAAATCAGGTGTTGTTCAAGTCTTTTTTGGTACCAGCAGTTGAACTCAGGACCTTGTGCTTTCGAGGCAAGTGCGATGCCGCTAAATCCCTGGCCTTCAAGTCAGATTCTTAATCTAACAAAAGATTTTTGAGACACTAGCTAAATTTCCTGTTCATTCCTTTCCCCTTATGAAGCCCAACTGGCTGGGTCCCTCTTTCCCGAGAGAGCTGTGGTCATTGATGTCAACAAGTAGGCTTTTTAAGCCATCATTGTTTTTACATGCCTTGTAGTAGGACTTGGTTTTATGTATTGACATATTTACATATTTGGTCTCCTGTTCTCTTAAGGGAATATGACATAGGACATCTGTAGTTGTTAGTCCACGTATTTTAAGAAAAAAATTGGATGGGGAGAAGATATGATAATGACTTTTGTTTGCATTTTCTTTAACCACTTATCAGTACAATTATGTAAATACAAGATGACCCAAAATTGTATATATTTATCAAGTTTTATAAGGTAACAGGAAATATAAAGAAAACAATTTTATCAAGTTTATTCAATACAGGAATTGACTGGTTGAAATGAAACCTGCCCAAGCGATGCTCAGGATAGTACATAATCACACTGCCCGAGTGATGCTCGGGGTAAACCGCTAAGTGATTCAGGAGAGTATAACTTAGGACAGTTGGGCTGCTGTGTCTTTTCCAGGCGGAGAATCACCTACATTAGCAAAATGTCATACGTGAATAATCCTGATACCTGCTTCACTGCTTTGGGGCGTGGAGGTGTGGCATGGGGTTGGCCTCATTACTCTATTCTGACCTGAAATGCTCTTTAGCAAAGCTGAATGAATATGGGGGTGTGCCGAAGGCCAATAGGTAGGGCCTTTGCATCCTGTTCAAAGTAGATTACTGTGGTAACTGTGTTGAACTCTGTCATAGCTGCTCCTGATATCACTGGCCATAAACGGAGTGAGAACAAGAATGAAGGGCAGGATGCCATGATGTACTGCAAGTCAGTTGGCTACCCTCACCCAGAGTGGATATGGCGCAAGAAGGAGAATGGTATGCTCGTGGTGAGTAGGAGGAGCCCTGGGTCTCTATGCCTGGGTCTCTCTGGTTGCTAGAGTTTTTCCTAGGGAGGTCCAGACATCTGAACCAGTTGCTGTAACAGCTATATCTTGGATGTGTGCATGGCTTGGGCTAGTCTATCTAGAGTGGGGTATGATTTACACAAAGGATACAAAGGCCGTACCTATTGGCCTTTGGCACACCCTCATATTCATTCAGCTTTGATAAAGAGTATTTCAGGTCAGAATAGGGTAATGAGTCCAACCCCATGCCACACCTCCATGCTTCTGGAGGACTGTGTGTATCCAACATGGACTATCTACATGATTTGTCAAAGCTGTCTGTTGGGTTAGGGATACAACGCAGAAAAAGATAAGCCTAACCTTTAAAACAGTCACAAAGAGGTTGTGATTCATATGTCTCATTGCTGAGTGGATTGATCCACCAGTGCTATGACTGTCCCATTGGGCACCTTTTTATTTTATTAGTAAAAAGACTGATAAAAGTAATTAGACCTGTTTTGTACTACCTGTGGCATAAGCTGCCCAATTGGACAGTCAGGCTTGTACCATTGGTAGATAAAGATGTTGGCAATGTGTTAAAGTTTACTGTTATTCTGGGGCTAGGATTTAGCTCAGTGGTGTCACCTTGTAAGCACAAGGTCCCAAGTTGGATCCCCGGTACCAAAAAAATGAATAAATAAAGTTTACTGTTAGTCTAGTTCACTAGAGTACCTATCTTATTGTTGAGGAAAACAAGTGCCTGAGGACAACTGTGCATATATTCAAAGAACTCAAAAAATACTGGTAAGGAATTGGGGCAACCTGAGGATACTGAAACAAAGTCTAAACACTGGTAATTTGATGACACCTGCTTCAGAAAAGGTAAGGAGAATCTCTTTTCCAACCTGTGGGATGATTCTGATAATGTTTGGATAGTTGGTGCCTTAGCTTACAAATGCTCTCTGATTCTGTGATTTCTAACCCATTTCCCTTTCTAGCAGAGGGATGTGGTACATTCCTCCTATCCTTAGGCCCATGTGCCCAACTTCATCCTCTTTCATACCCTCTGTGTCAGTCTTCTGAACCAGTAAGATCATCTAGTCCAGCTCCTTTGGGAAAGTTATGTAGTAACCCAGAGGCCTGATCCAATTTAGTTTTGTTTTTTAAATTTCAAGTCCTGTTATTCCCTTTCCATGACCTCTTGATAGTAATCATTGAAATATTTATAGCAATTCCACATGGGCATTAATGGCTGGACTTCAGAGGCCAGTTGGAAAGGAAGTCAGGAGTGGGCAGCAGAAGATTTGAGTTGAGTCTTTTCAAGACAGGCCCATGAATGATCAACAAGACAATGGTTTTTCTGAGGTGCTAGTCAGGAAATGCCCATCTCTCTACTGGGCCCTGGGAAGAAGGGCCAAGCTTTTGCCAAAGCAGGTTGAAATGATTTAGTGGGTATTTTCATCTTCTGAAGGACAGACTTTGGAATTTCACTTTAGCTTTTAAAAGCTGTGATTTCTGCACTTCAGCCTTACCCACACTCAAATACAGATAGGATTAGTAGAGTCATTTAGGGGATAATATTCTATGTTGTTTCTTTTGTAGTTGTTGCAGGGTGGAAACACACAGGCCTGTCTTCACCTGCTGGTGTGCCCTGAGATTGGGGCTGCACCCAAACCCCTGACTGTGCACTGTGATCCCTCATTGCACACATTCGGTGTCCTTTGCGGGGAGTGCTCCAGTTTGCTCCACAGGCTCTCCTCCTTTATATTCTTATGCAGACGTTAGATGTCAGCCCTACTCTGACTTCCTGCATTGGCTGCTGCCTCTGTGCCCTGTAGCACCCCATATACTTCTTCCCCATTGAAGCCAACGTCTTTTGTATCACATCTTTCCCTGTCCATCTCACCTTCCTTTCAGGGGGATATGAAATGTGTAGTGTACACTGGTAGGTATTTGTTGATTAAAATAACCTTTCCTTTCATTAATACTATAGGTCTGAAGGGAAAGAGAAGTTAGGGATTTTCCCCACTTCAGAGCAAGTCTTAAAGTCTTAGCACTGTTTGTCAAAGAAGTTTAGATTCACCAAGGATGAGGTCTTCAGTTGTTTGGTGGGGGAGAGGTCCTGCCCTCCTTCCTCATCCTCCTCCTGCTTTGCTTTCTCACCTGATGTTGGAAGTCGCATTCATTGGCTCATTGGTCTTTTCAGGGTCATCAGACTGTAGTCCTCCTTGCACTTAAGAGGCAGAAGTCCAGAGGGACCAGTGGTGGCAAAGCAGGGGGAGGGGTGTGTGCCGTATTTCTGTCCGAAGTTTGTTGATTTATTGTTTTGTAGATTGACATTGAAGGGCACTTATCAATGGAGTGTTCAAAATGCTTTGAACAAAGACAAAACCCAAACACCGCTGTCTCATAGCAGCCAGCATCTTAGTAATAGTGGAGACAGCATCACCCTCTCTCAAGCACTGGCTTATCTACTTGGCCTTTGTGTGTCCCCACTTCTGCAGGACATTGTCAATTCCTCTGGTCGCTTCTTCATTATCAACAAGGAGAATTACACTGAGCTGAGTATTACGAATCTCCAGATCACAGAAGACCCGGGCGAGTATGAATGTAACGCAACCAACCTTATTGGCACTGCCTCCATTGTCACAGTCCTCAGGGTACGGAGTCACCTGGCCCCACTCTGGCCTTTCTTGGGAATTTTGGCTGAAATCATAATCCTTGTGGTGATCATTGTTGTGTATGAGAAGAGGAAGAGGCCAGATGAGGTTCCTGACGGTAAGAAAATTCCTCCAAAGCAGTAATATTGTGATTGGGTTACTCAGGGTGGTTTTGAAGTACCCAAAGAGGAATATAAGAATGTTGGGGTTCAGTTCTCAAAGGAAGAGGGAAGAGTTTTTACTGGTTCTTAACCTCCCACCTCTGAGATATTTTGTATTTGCTACTTAGAGCTTTAATTAGCTCTCTTTCTCCATAGGTGTTCTTCAAAGTGTAGGCCCTGCCCTTAAGGCCATGTGGGGAATGGGCAGCTGTCCTCAGTCTCTGCTCAGCTCTGTCCTCCTTCAGTATAGCCCTCAGGCAGATTGAGAATTCCAAGTCACCCCAAGATGGCAGGCTGCCAGTCCTTTCAGGTGGATTTAAGGTATCAAATTGATTGTCACATGGTTGCCTGTGTAGCTGCCATAGATCACTGCCCCAGTTCAGTCAGACCATTTGAGGAAAGCCATTGGGACAGGCCACCTTTGGCTTGTCTCTTTCTTTGCTAGGTGCCTAAGGGTCTCTACCAGACAAGCATGGCAGAGAATGTCTTGATCTACCTTCCCAGGTGAGATTAGAGGTGGCTAAGTGCACCTGCTGGGAGGCCATGACCAGTGTAGGCCCCCTCTAGCCCAGGGTCAGAGAGAGTAGATAGTGGCAGATTATTAAACATTCGAAAGAGCAAGAGCTGCCTTACAATATGACATGCTTAGAATCAGTAAAGCATTAGGGATTTTAAATTTTTTGGTCATAGATTTTTCATCTCTAAACCTGTGATTGCAGTTGGGGGAAGCTCCTTATAGAGACTACCACTTGTGCTTCAGATTCCGGACTAGTTCCTCATCCCCACCCTCCTGACCTCTAACAGCAGTTGAGAAGTATTTGTGGCCTGCCACAGAAGTGTGTGTCCCTGTGCTCATTGCCGGCCAGTGAGTGGTGATGGCAGGGTCACCACCTGCGTTCTGGCTGTCCTGAGGCTTTGGCTGGTACATTTGTGGTACTGTGTCCTGTGCCACCCCCACCCCCATGTATATCAGGTGAGGGCTCCTGCTCCCTTGGAAAGAGCTTGCCTCAGAGGCATGCCACTGCCACGAGACTCTGCAAGGACACATTGGAGAGTACAACCCACTGTGTGCCTTTTTCCTCTTGGCCGCTAATTCCCTTGCCTGCACTTGGTTGTCAGTGCTGAGGCTGGAAAGAGGTATTTTGTTGACACTGATGATGCCTGAGGGAGGCCTGGTGGGCATCCCTCCAGATGTTCTCAGCAGTGAGCTGGATGGTGGGCCAGATAGTTGTCAGCTGGAAGCAGAAGGACTTTGCAAAGTGATCTACTTCCCTGCAACAAGGCTGTCCGCAGAAGTTTTACTTCTTGTTCTATGAGTGAATCTGTATTCCTGGGATTTTTGTGTTACTTTTTTTTCCCCTTCCAATTTTTTTTTCTTTTCTGCTGCATATTAGACTCCTGAGAGAGAGCACACCTATATTTAACCAGAGAGTAAATGGAGAGAGCAAGGCCTGTCTCCTACATGTTTGTAGCTCTGCCCTTGGGGAACAGTTTGTATCTCATTCCTGTAAAGGGGATTCACCCCTCAGAATGCTTCAGCTTTGCCAAATACTGCCTTCCTCATTCTGCCCTTTATAGGGATTAGATGAGAAATGGGCACAGATTTCAGAACCTAATTTTTAAAGTTTTAAGACAAGGTTGGTTGCTGCTGTCTGTCACAAGAATGACACAATAATTAGCATGCCCCCCCCAGCTGTGCTAGTTTCTTCACAGAGGCCCCTTTGTTGATGAGGATACTGTGTCAGCAAATGTGGCATGTGTTCAGGTTGAGACTTGAGAAGTGGTTCGGATCAGTTTTGATAAGTACAGGCACACCTGCCCAGGGACAAAGCTGACTTTTTAAAAAAGTGTTCATTGGCTATTGAATTCAAAGGAGGTACCAGTTTTGTTACAGGGGATATCTGTGGCCAGCCAGTCTTCTGAACCACTATTAAGCTCTTAAGTTAGTAGAGGCAGTGAATGGACCCTACTTAAAAGACATGACTGCAGGCTCTCTTGGGAGAATACTTTAAAGCTAGCTAACAGCTTTTATTTCCTTGCTTTGGTTGGACTGGGGTTAAAAAAAAAAAAAAAAAAAAAACAGTGATGCTGAAATGACTGCAGCATCTGCCTTCTCTGTCCCTGCCAGCCAGCTCCATCTCCACATACCTGCCCTTGCCTCAGCCTTTCCATCTCATAGTTTCTTCATCTATTTCTTTCTCTTAAACTCCTCCCTGCCCTCCCTCCCTCCTGGAAGTAATCGTTTTAAAAGTTGGTTCTTCAGGGGCTTTCCTTACATTGCATTTTTCCCCTCAACTCTGATTACATTCACAGGCAAGACAATTGTGTTCTTCCCAAAATTACATGGAGATGTATATATGTACACTCTTTTGGAAGGAAGACACACACATTCTGATATAATCTTGGAGAGTTAGAAGTGTTAAAGTGCTGGCTTATTTATGTCACTGTGGAAATGGAAATTTCTTTGGGAGGCCTGACATACTTTTTTCACTTCTGCATAGGTGCTTTAATGTCAAGACCTCTTGCTCATTTCAGACTCCCTGAGCCTTTTTATATGAATTCACAATATTCATATGTTGGGCAGTCTATGGATTCTTGGTAACCCATCCCTTTACTAGACAAGCATTAAGTGGAGAATACAAAAGTATAAAAATAACACACATTTAGGGGCCAGGGGTTTAGCGTAGTGGTTCCAATGCCTACCACACAAGGTCCCGAGTTTGATCCCCGGTACCAAAAAAAAAAAAAAAAAAAACCACACACACACACACACATTTAAATTTAGAGTTTAAATGGGTTTCGCTAGAAAAGCTGTGATGAATTCCCCCTCCCCGAATCTGGACAGGGTGGGGGTTCGGTTAGCTCCTGGCCTCTGCAGCAGCCATGGTACACATGAGTCTCACAGTTGACTTTTAGGCATCTGCTATCGTTAGGAATAGTGAATCACAGAGCCCAATAACAGCTTTGGTTTTTCACTGATTCTGTTCTCTGAACCAGTTTAGCCTTCCATCCATGGTACAGCTGGACTCTGGCTGGGAGCAGACTCGCTCCTGGGTGCTGACCGAACAAAAAGAGCAGCTGTGTGTGTGTGCTCTTGGACTCCCTCCCCACCCGCTGGGAGATGCAGTGATACTGCCCAGCCACTGGGGTTTCAGTTGTGCTGGATGTTTTAGTGACCTCACAGACATTAAATTAACATAGCAGGAGGAACTGATTTAAGAAAAAGAAGTGCTAGAATCAAAGAATTTCCTGTTTTTCATGCTGGTACGATTCTCATAAGTCACAGGGATCCTTCAGAGTTTGGGGTGAATTAACTTTTTTGATGAGTCTGATGTATCAAACTCATTTACATACTTCAGATTTAAGCAGTCACAATGTTGAAAATCTATTAGTTGGTCAAAGTGTTTGGTACATAGGAAGCTTTACAGTAGGGGAGGCATGTGACTGTAAAATGATGTGCAAAACACATTCATCTCTTCACCCTTGGGCCGTCTGGGTCAGTAACAAATTACCCTACAGAGAAAATGCCATAGGACCAAATGAGAGGAAACTGGAAGTAACTATCTCCCTTGGGTTTAATGCTACTCTGAGATCAGGCAAAGTTGAAGTGGCTTGAGAACCACAAAAGTCCATCTTCTTTGAAGTGAATGCATTGGCAGAGGAGCTCTGACCAGAGTCAGCTCTTGGTCATGCTGACTCTAAGCCATCTTTTTGGAGGTGACATTGTGCCAGGCAGTGCTCTTTACTAGGCATCGCAGAGCACCTTCTAGGCTGCAGGGTGGGTCCCAGAGGTGGGGCGAGGGAAAAAGGAACCTGAAGATACAAGTGTGCACTGGCTCTGCCAGGAACTCCGCTTTGGACAGGCGGACTCCAGAGGCATCTGTCTCTATCCTTCCTGCCCTCGTCCTCTTCCTCTTCTAGACATGGCTCTGTGTAGTCCCTAGGTGGAAAGAACCTGTCATTGTTTAAGGTCCCTATCTTTGGCCTGAGGGTTTGGGATATGTTGATATTTATCGGTTACTATGACTTCTTTTTTTTCCCCCCTCAATTGCATCAAACCCTTAAAACATGGTGGTAAGTGAGCGATATGCATGCTTTTGGAGTTTGTTTAATCTCCGCTTCAGTCTATACAATGCACAGTTCATGATGTTAACACTTTCAAGTTTACTTCATTCACTTTCACAACTAATTTGGATTTCAGTTTGCTGTTTAATCTTCATTTACTTTGATTTTCATACTTTTTTTTTTTTTTTTTTTTTTTTTTTTTCATTTTTTTTTTTTTTTTTTTTTTTCTGTAGTTCTGTTCTCTCCCTCTCTCTCCTCTTCCCTATCAGGGGCCAAGTCACCTTTTTCTTTTTTTGTTTTTTTGTGTGACCTGTAAAGGAGAGAGGTGCTGCAGGTAGTGACTCAGTGCAGGAGTGGAGGGAGACGAGGCTCTTTTCTTTGTTCTCGTTGTGAAAGTGGCTTTGGGGAGAGGGACTCTTGGGAAGCACAACTCCTCCCACTTGTAGGCATGGCTACGCCACAGGCACTATGGCTAAAATCCAACATGCAGCCCCTTGCATGTGAGCAGCTTGTCAGGTTGAATAGTGAAATTTCTGAGCAGCCACCAGATCAGACCTCTGCAAAAGGAGGTCTGAGGTGCTTGGATTGGTGCCTATAGGGTCCTACTTGGAAAAGATTAGCCTGCTATTGTGATTCTCTCTCCTCCACTTTTTAAAGTTGGGAGTAGATTGGTGATATCCTTGATTCCTCTTGCATTAGAATTTTGTATTTTTGGGTGCACAGCCAGAGCACTAAAAATACTGCAAGTTTGCTCCTGTGTCGTTGTCTTTAGCTCCCTAAGATGCTTAGCTCATAGCATGTAGTAGAGCTGGCTTGGCCAGGCGCTGAGCAGCAGGCCGCTGTGCAGGGAGGGTTTAGGCTGGGCTTGTGTGTCTCAGTACTTGGTGTCTTTGTAACTCTTCACTGCACACACACATACACACGTCCTGGGTGTCCTCAAGTCTTAGTTTGTTCTTTGTACCTGTTTGATAGTGTGCTGTTGTTAGTAATGGATTTGTGGACACTGGTGTGTCGCTAGCCTATTGTTTTGGCTGATGAGTTGTTGGTTTGTGGTTAATTTTTTTCCTTCCCACCCCCCCTTTTTTTTGAAATCCTCTTTTGCTCCAGTCACTGTGTGTGCTGGCAGTGGCTTTGCCTCTTCGTTGCCTGGAAGGAACAGGTGGAGCAATGTCTCCCTGGGACAGACATTACTCCTGACGTGTGCTCCTGCAGATGCCTCCACTGAGACTGTAACCTCATAACTGCTTCATGTGCACCAAGCCCTCTTGTGGAATCCTGCTGAGAGGTTTTCTAGACACCTTTCGTGCAAACTTCTGAATCCTTTCGTCCACCATACTTATATATAGTAAAAGCAAACTAAGAGCACTTACTTGTTTCCTCCCCTTTTATCTCTGCTGAAAAGGGACCAAGTTGCCCTTAGTTGAAACAGGAAAAGCTTATAAACCAGAAACATAAATACCAATTTTAAAAGGCTAAGTTCACATAAAATTAAAAAAAAAAATCTCATGGCTGTTCTGGTTTTGGCCAGTACACAAGAACAAGCCTGACTTTTCTATCTGAAGTCTTTTCTGGAGGGCTGTCACTGTGAGCTCTCCACGGTGTGGCGCAGAACATCTGGTGCTTGTTGCTGGCGTGGCTGACTCTGTAGTTGGTTAAACTATTACAGCTTCCTCGTCCTCAGCCTCATTTTCCAGACTAAGACTCCCAATGATCACAAACAGCAAGAAAAGCAGGGTGCCTTTTGGGGAAATGAGGATGTGTGGCTAAAAGGACAGAATGTACACATCCACATACCAGTGTAGGATGGAGCTAAAACTGCATGTGTTCACCACAAGAAAACAAACAGCAGGATTTTACAACTGAAATGTTGGTTTGTCTTCTCATCTTTTTAAGAGTGAACCACTGGAACTTGGGGACAAGATGAGTATGATGATAATGCAGCCTATCTGTCCGCTACAGTTGCAGTTTTTCATGACAAGCATTCAAAGTGTTAACTAAAACCATTGAACCAACATACCTGCCATTAAACTTGAATCTAGAAATAACAACTCCATGAGTGTTTTGCACCTCCAGACGGAATGGCCTCTAAACGCAATGAATAGCCATGTTTGCCACTTGCAGTTTGTTGTCCTGCTAACCCTTATGCAGAATCTAACAGTTTTCCTCCTTTCTTTTATCTCTCATGGCATATTAAAAACTGAACGCTCACATAGATGATGAACCAGCTGGACCAATGTAAGTACTTTAGTGGACTTGAACTTCACAGTTTTTGATTGAATTATGTTGTATTTATAGTTGAGTTAAACGGAGTGGGGAAGACAGTGAGTCTAATGTTGCAGTGAAGACTTCTAGCCTGATAGTTCTAACTCAAGACCATTTGATTTCCAAGGCAGGTTGCCGTCTTGTTTTAGCTGTACAGATGGGACACTACGCAGAAATGGTTAAAATGTTGTCTGCTCTGTATACTTAAATTGATAACATAGGGGAAGTGACCAGTGTTTTAATGATGCCGCATGTTTTGGCCAAGCTCACTTCAAGCTGGACAGTAACATGGATAAACTCCAGCCTCATTAACAACTTCTGGTGTGATGAGATGGAGCTGCAAGCTTGGAATCAAATAGTGGCAGTCTCTTAGAGCTGGGGACAAAGCAGCATGAGGCAGGCAATGTCCACGTTAGTGAAGGGCATCGCACAGCCAGTTAATGACTGTCTTCTCTGTCAGTTAAGTAATGGTGTTTAGTAGAGTAAAAGTTAACCTCACTTTGAATCAGCTGCAAAATCAGAAGGCAAGTTACCTCTGCGTGTTATCTGCCTTGGGAGTCAAAAGCTCTCTTAAGGGGAGGTGTGAGGCTGCTTTAAGACTGTTGTCAGGCACTGATGTTGTGCAGTAAGTGAAAGAGCCCTGTATTTCCATCTGTAACTTTCAAACCTTGTAACTAGTTTAACTCATGTAATGCAATTTTTTCCCCCAAAGGAAAACCAACTCTACCAACAATCACAAAGACAAAAACTTGCGCCAGAGAAACACAAATTAAGTACTGCTTACAATGTAAGTATGGCCTTCTGTAGAGATTTTAAAAACTGTATTCAAATGAGTTGTGCCTCTGTTGACCTTGCTATCAGTTCTCCAGTAGTTGGTGTTATATGGTTAGACCTTTGAACTTTATTTCCGAGTAGCTGATACTGATGAACAAGTTCTGCTTGCTGAGTATAGTGGCTGGAAAGCAACATTCTTCAGCTGCCTTAGTTCACACATAAAAGTCATTTCAAAACTGTGTTTCAAAATAAATACTTTGCACTACCATTTACTTACATCTTTAAAAAGAGATAAGAAAGCAATAGTCAGAAAGTGGATTATTGTCAGAAGCCTGTGATCACTGCTTTGCTTCAGAGGGCAAATCAAAAATGGTGGCCAGGAAGCACGGGGCCAGAGTATCATCTGCAGAGGCACACGGAGATCAGAATTTTATACCACATCCCCGCGCATGCTGCTGGAATCAGAGCTTTATTTTATGGGGCACTTAGTGTAGTCCTGAGTGACAGCACATGTTTGTTCCCTTTTAATTTCCAAATACTTCCTTTCTTTATAGATCTTTAGGTTCCTGAAACTGGTGGCATCATGACCTGCTCAATTTTCTGCTTGGACCTCTTTGGTCTCTCTCCTTCAAGTGAGCAACACCACAATGACCGTCTAAAGCATGCCTTATTTAGCCTCTCCTGTAAGGGTGACCTAGCCAGGTACATTCTAAACAATGCTTCAGTGTAGAAGGTGTAAACTATTTTTGGGCTTGATGTGCTGTGAATGTTGCTTTTTTCCCTTTGTTAAAATATTTAAATAGAAGTGAAAAGGTCCTCGGAGGATCAGATCATGCATGCACCATTTTTTACTTAATGCAGCTGTTAAATTGGCAAAGCTCTAAAGTGCACTGCTGCCATCCAGTGGTACATTTTTGTAAAGTACAGCAAACCTACAGATATATACAGTATATAAATATATATATCTATATTTATATTTTTTGGGGTGGGAGAAATCCAAAATAAATGCTTGTTCCATTTTTAAGCTGCCGATATTCATTCCTTATTGTATGTTGTTGGATGAGGAAACTGTGCAGTTCTGGTACCTAAAGATAAGTGATATAAACTGAAGTCTGTAATTTAAGGGCTTAATCTATGACTTTTAAGAAGCTGGCACAGTCCAGTGAATGGATATAATGAATTGCAGTATATAATATGTATGATTGCTTTTTAAGTAACTATTTTTTCTTTTGTTTAAATCTGTAAATTCTTAAATCCTTTTGCACTGATATGTTGACCCTTACTCTTGTACATTCAGTCAAGGCAGACTTTTATAATTTACCTTTTGTTTTCATTGACCTTGACATGTTATAGCATGATGAGATTCTATGCAAGTAGTTATACTTTCGGTTTGACACTGTACTTTTTCATATTGATTTAATGGTTGATGGTAGATTTTATAACCTGACCGGGTTCTCATGCAGTACGTAACTGTAGATGCATGTCCTTGTGTTTTGTGTAATTGTTGAAGTGCAATGGTGTATAAAAAGTGGATTCACCTGTTTTTAACAATAAAATATTGATAAAAGGTGTTTGGAATAATACTTTTTCAACACTTGAAAGTTGCTTAGTTTTTATAGATTCATCAAGTCTTAATTTCTCATCCCTGTCAGCTTTTTAAGTTCGTTTTCTACCTTTTCCACAAATGCTGGAAAGTTTTGGTCCATGAGGCACAGGCGTAGGAAAGGGCCTAACTCTTCCACACTCCATGCAGATTGTTGATAGGCAAGGGGCAGCTCCTTGGATGCCAGGACAGACTGCAGGGACAACACAAGAAGAGTCTGTTACAAGCAAAAAAGAATACTCTTTAATTAGCGGTTATAATTTGTTCTTCCCTAATCGCTAACAGTGCAAGGCATCTCTTCATAGGCTTATTTATCATCTGTATGTTTGCTTTGGTGTCCTACAGTGTTTTAAAACTAGTTGACCTTAAAATTAAAAAGTCTGGCTTTGCTTGGCATTCCTGAGAAGTGACAACCTGGACCCTCTGGGACTCTTATGTTGACAGTGGGCTGCAGCTCTGCTAGGATCCACTTTGTCCGCACATGAATTCTATGAAGTATGTGGTTTAATTCCCTTCCTGTGCATGGCATAGTTTATTTTAATTAATTTATTTTGGTACCGGGGATCGAACTTGGGTCCTTGCGCTTGTGAGGCAGGCGGTGGGCAGAACCACTGAGCTAAATCCCCGGTCCCTGCATGGCATAGTTTAGTGCTTAAGTATCCAACTGCCCTCTGTCTAGGAGCTGTAATAGAATTTTCCTTTTCTAAATTCAGATTGCCTTCCAGACTCTGCTTAAAGGCCTAAAGAAGAAAATGAAAATAACATGGAGCCTGTCCATAGCAGGGAGGGCCACTGCTAACACTGCACTCCCAAACAGTGTTACAGAAAAGGAATCATCTTGCTATTTTGTAGCATTTTAAACAGGGGGCATGGACCAACATCACTTACTGATTACAATCTTATCCCATCTATGCTTATGCTGCACTTCAGCCCCTCAGCTCCTATCAAATGAACTGCCTGATACTGTTTGTGTGTCGCTGAAAGGGAATAATGAGTAATATGATACATAGTGCTAAACTGCTTTCCAAAAGGTTAGAGGAAACAAGGAACATAAGAGCTCTGAGTCTTGTGCCTGTTCTCATTTGTATGTAGTTCTTCTGTATTACAAGTAAACTGCAGTAAGGCATCACTCATTGTTTCCTCAATCTCTTTACAGCCTGGTGTCCTCAACCACTCTGATCTGATTCAACTCCTAACCCCAGTGCAAATGGGAGCATTATCAAGTCTATGCTGCTCCTGGACACAGAAGCACAGTGGTTTTTTGGCACAGTCCAGGGTTTTTAAAAGAAACAAACATGATGTGGAGATTGCACCTAGAGCATGATGCGTGCTAATGAAGCACATGCTCTGCCACCGACCACCATCCCCAGCCCAGATCTCCTCACCTCTTGAGTTCTTTATTCTCTGAGTTAGTGGTAAGCCAGATGGAGAAAATACAGAGTTCCTTTTTGGTACCACTGTTAGCATAGCTTAGTAAATCCGCGGAGTGAGCACCCACAAAGCTCCCACAGAGTAGACAGAGGCCACCACTGCAACCACGACAGTGAACCTAGAGGTTCTGTGGGACTCTGGTGGTGGCAACCTACTACACGGTCTGAAGTAGCTCAGCTGTGTCTTCCTGGGTGTCCACACTGAACAGTGTCCTAAGAAATCACTGCAAAGCCAACTCCAAATCCACCTGCATGTTTCTGAATAATTCCCAAATTTCCTTTCTAAAGTTAATTCTTTCTGGGAAAATGGTGAATAAATCGCTATCTCACATTCAACTCGTCTTCCCCTCTTCTGTCCAGTCTCCACCAGGGTAAAAGACAATGGTCTGTCACACTGTACCACCTCCTATCAACTATCAACGTGCATATTAGATTTACATTCTCAAGCATGAACAGAGGAATACAAGTCCTTAAAGACCACTGTTTTCAGATATACAAAAAAGCCCCTACCTGTGCTAACTGTGCTACAGAGGTCTTTCCTTCTGGAGCATCAATACCAGCAGCCACATGTTTTCCCTGTTCCAGGTCCTGGTAGGGCTGGAGTAAGATAACATTTCGTCAGAAGAATGGTAACCACCACAGACGAATGGAGAATGGCGGCACAGGACTTGGCCTTCAAAGAAAAAAGACCTGTAAAAGCAATCTTTTAACTCTTCTCAACAGAGGCCTACCCTATGTACCCTATGATGGTTGCCCACCTATCACAGCAAGGGACCATAGCCGGTGGCCTGTCCAGAGGCCCACCTGGGCATCAAGTCCAGCACTCAGGAAGCAGAGTGTCATGGCAGCTATGTACTCAAGCCCTGCTGCTAATGGCCAAAATGTATTCTGATGTGAACTAGAAAGTGTAAAGTCGGGGGAAAAAACCTTGTAATTGTGTCCATTCTCTACACTATTACAGCAGACACTGAGCGGGGATGGGAGCTGTGTGGCACAAGATGGAGACTGCTCTGCAGGAACCCACAGCTTGGCCTGCACTACACAAGTCAAGGGTGCTCATCCTGCAGCGCAAGAAGCGTGGGTGCCAGCCATGAGGCATTGTCTTCAGTAGAACACAGGGTGCTTCCCACAGAGAGTGGAGGTGCAAGGTCCCTATTGCTCCTCCTTCCCTAGCCTCATGGCTGCAGGTGCTAGTTCTCCCAGTACCAGGAGTGAGCTGATAGTGTGAGAAGGGGAGAGAGCAAGGTCCTCCTGAGGGTGCCTTTGTTGGCATCAGTAGCACATCTGACAGGCAGACAATACCCAACTGTGTCTTCTGTCTTGTATGGGTGCTGATGCTGCTAATCCACAGGTAGCAGAAAACTAGACTGGGAAGCATCAAAAAAGAGGTAGTGGAGGGACAACGGAAGAAAAGAACAACAACAAAAAAACAATATTAAAATCAAAGTAGGCCAAAAGGCCAAGGGACCCTACAGTCAGAGGAGTCCTTGGACAAGCTCTATTTCTGTTAGTTTCTTTAGTTTCCTCATCTGTGAAATTAAGCTGCACTCTAGTGCAGCAATCCTTCCTACTCCGGTAACTGATGCTTTCCTAGGACACACAGCAGTTCAGCCCATGGTATCCTTTATACTGAAAATGACGTTAGCTAAAATCCTGTGCCACAGCCACTAAATATACAACCATGTGACTTGGCCCAGGAGACTGGGAGTTCACCTCACCAAGGGCAGAAAGGAAGGAAGGCTCAGCACACAGCAGGCTCTTCTGGATCTTCTGCGCTCACAAAGGTAAGTTCATCGGCTAACTGCCAGCTTCCTTCCTGTTTCCCACCTCCCATTCTGGGGTGGGCTGGATTGCCTCAAGAATCCTCAGGTTAAGAAACACCTGATTGGGCCACAATTAACAAAATTATGGCTGAGGAAAAGTAAAACTAAAACATGAGCCAGGAAATAGACATGAAATTATCCCAATTTGCAAAGGGAACTATTTTAGACTAAAAATATACTGTATTGGAAAAAGGACACATCTGAATCTATGGGCACAACAACATGACCTGAACCTACCCCACCCCCACTCCCACTCGCCCCGCCATTCAAAAGGTAGGGAGCGTGATACCAAATTTGTGCCCAGCCACTAAAGCCAACCTAGGAATGTTCTGCATTCAGGACAACTGAGCTGTCCTGCTTTAACATGCTGCACCCAGGGGAATGAATCCAGGGGCTTCAAACACTGGATCTTCTTCTGGAGGTTCTGACTCTTGTTACTTAGGTCTTTGACCTGGATGCTGATTTGTGTACAAGTGAAGGCAAGTGTGAAAATGTGAGTGCTGCCAGTAACAGTAATGGGTAATGTGACTGAGGTCACATTGGCTTAGCATTGTGCTCTGTGCCTCTTACATGGGCTTCACTGTTAGCTGTGTACAATCAAGAAATTAAACGATGATTCAACCTAGATCTGCTTGGGTTCCAAAGCCTGTGGTCTGTGCCCAGCATCATACTGTCTTTATTTTTCAGAACACCAAAATACAGATCCCAAAGAACCTCAAAGGGGGAGATCCAAGAAAAGACATCAAAGTTTTCTAACCACTTACAGGGTATTTCTACTTAGACCCTGGGAACAGCCTTTAACATCAGCATGCTGAAGCCTTCTGCTGCTGCACCAGCTCACAGCTCTCAGCCTGAATGTGTTACCACAAAGTACAAATGCAATTTAGCTTGTGTTTTTGGATATGCAAATAACTGGATAGCTTGATGTGTCTACCTTTGTAAGTCATTCAGTCCCTATTCCCAAATCCTGGGACCATGCTGGGTCCTGATCACACTCTAGGCATTGGGGATGCTGTACATAATCTGACTCTAATGGCCAGTGAAAACTGAAAAAAATTTAAAAGGGCAAAGATTCCTAAGCAATAAAGCACTGATTCCATTGTAGGGAAGGGAGTCTTAAAGATTGTAGCAGGAGTAATGAGCATCTTCACAAAAAAGATCAAAGGGAGGGAAAGAGTTGGAAAACACCAAAAGCTAGCAAATGAAACACATTGAAGAGGAAATAATGTAGCACCTGCTTAAAGAAAAACTAATGTTCATTCTTGTTCACCTGAGATAAGCTGTGAATGACAAATTCTGTGATTAAGCAGTAGAAATGAACTGTCTTAGTTAAGGGGATCTAACAGGATTAATGAAAAAATTGGGTTTGGAGAATCATTTCTCAAAAGTAGAAAAATAAAAACCCTGCTTGAGCCAGGGATTTAGCTCAGTGGTTCTGCCACCTGCCTCGCAAGCACAAGGTCCCAAGTTTGATCCCCAGTACAAAAAGAAAACAATTCTTGAAACTGGAATTCTACCCCAAAAACAAATGCATGCTTATTCTCACATTTGAGTCTGCTGAAAAATGCTAGAATATGTATTTTTGGAAGGAATGCTATACTAAGTTCCAAACTTGTGATCTCAAGACCCCTTTATATATAAGCTTATAATTACAGAGGCCCTCAAAGACTTTACTTGCATTCATGTATATCTGGCATCTATATTAGAAATTAAAACAATTTAAAATATTCTTTTAAAATTAAAAAATCATGTTAACATTTTATGAAAATAACTTTTCTGAAACATAATGTGTAACTCCTGCAATATCTAGCTCACTGGAAGGTCACTGATTCTTACGCCTGCCTCTGCATGCAGTCTGCTGTTTGCAAGTTGTTTCGGCTAAAGTCCATGAAGAAAATCTGCCTTTACACACATGAAGATGGAAAGGGAGGAATATTTTAAAACAGGCTTTTCACAACATAATTGTAGGTATTCTTGACACACAAAAACAAAGTGGTAGCTGCTCCAAGGTTAGTCGCAACACAGAATCTGAAACCATGGTAATAGATTTGAAATACTGTGTTATATCAAAATCCACTGGCCTATCTTACACTTGAAATAGCTTTATATTCAGTTTTGTAGCAGCACGCATCAGTCATCTGGGAGATACTGGCTCACTGAACTCTACCTATCTTCCAGGTGTTGCCTCACACATTGCCTCACGTCATACATTTACATAAAGTGAGTCAGGTTCATCAAGCAGCCTCAGAACAGTGTTCTGGGTAAGGAAGGTGCAAAGCTCATGTGGTTCAGACTCCACTTGGATGCTTCCTCTCTGTTATGGGGAAGTGAGAGGCTCATGTCTTTCATTTCAGAGAACATGTTCACCACACACCTATCTGACCCCAGTGTGTCCATGGTGGTATCCGTGGGAGGAAAGTTCAGCTCCCAGCACAAGCACCACTTAGGCACTGTCAGGGTCCTGCAGGATGCTGGGCCATTCTGTCCTGGTGGTTTCTGCTGCAAGTGATTGGTGAGAGATTACAGCTGGTGGCATGGGGCACCACTTGGTCGGTACTGACAACAGCTTTGCTCAGTGCTCTCATCCCATTGGTGCAGATGCTTATGCAATGAAAATTCCAAGGTTTCAGGGGAAGGTGGGCCAGTGTGAGAACTGTTCTAAGCAAACCTTGTGGCATCTATTTGGTAGGATTATAAACTTAAATAGTAAGTACCAACCTTCAAATTTAAAAAGCTACAGAACATTAGATTTCTAGAGCTACAAACCCAGTGGACCTACTGATCCCACTGCGACTGGGTGCCCATGGTGTGTCACACCGGGTTCTCTGAGTAGCCAGTGCTCGCCTACTCACCCCAGGCTGCAGCGGTGGGATGCTCTTCACACAGTCCCTCCCTTGGTGGTCACCTGCCCGCAGCAGGCCAGGACTCGGCTGGGTAACACTGTCCGGCACCTCAACAGTTGTGTAGCGGGCCAGACTCTGCACACAGCTGCAGCAGTGCTCCAGGGCCTGCTCCTTTGACTCTCCACCAAACTGTATGCGGAACATGCGGCTCTTGTTCTGTTGACAAGTGAAAAGTCATTTGAGAGACCCTTGATTTTGATTTACTGTGGGGGCTTCTGGGACTGGCCCCTTGGCTTGGGCAGAGGTATGGGTAGCAGAGAGGTCACCCATGCTTGTTGGCGTAGCTGTAGAAAAGCCAATCTGTTTTCTTCCCCTTTTTGGAAGCTGTTCTTCATGCTGAAATTAATTTCACTCGGAACTAGCAACAGCAAAAATGTTAAAGCCCATTACCATAAATGCGAGAAAGGTCATGACACTGCGGGGAAGATCCTTGTTATCTTGCTATGGAATACAGATTTTAAGGCTGCAGACTGCTTAAACAGAAAATCTGAGGATAATACCACATAGTTCTTCCTGGCTCGTTGAATTTTTTTAACCTAAGTAAAAAAGCACACTCAGTAGATGTCACATTGAGCAATGCAGTGAGTGCAGTGAGCTTCAGTGACATTGGGGAGAAGGAAAGAGATGGCTGCTAAAAGGAGATGTATTGCACGTTAAGAGCCCAGGGCGCCTTTCTCTTTAGGAGGCCGGACCACCACTCTGGCACAGAGGAGGGTGGCCCACAGTGTGCTATGTGAATTACTTCCCTTTAGTACAGCAGAGGTGGAAAGGATGAGGTTAAAAATTTCTTTAATACCTGGCAACTACATCAAAGTTATTGGAATGTAAGTTTAAAAAACTGACCCAGTAAGACCATTAACTTAGTAGTTTGCTCCTCTTCTAGTCTAATATTCTGTGTAGTTCAGGCAAGTCAGCCTACATAAAAGCACAAACAGGATTGTATATTCAGTTTGTTTTGGTTTTAGGCTGAAGGTTCTACTACCATTTCATTACAAAAATGTTCATCATTCAATTCTTTTTTTCATTTACTTTTTATTAGTACATAACACATTCATCTCAGGGAATAGGTGCATATACTTAACACATCTTAATTCTTTTTTTTCCCCTTTCCTTTCCTTCCCATTTCTCTGTTCAGTTGCTTTCATAAAGAAATGCAGGTGTTTAGCACAGTGCATCATTTTCATTTATTAAATATATTACACTGCTAGCATGAAAACAGTTCTAACTTCAGGGAAAATCCTAAACGTTCCAATAAGTATGGTTCTTGATTTTCCAACTCATGGTTTCTACTGTTTAAATAAATTCATCAAGGAAATCCACCCTTTGGGTTCTAGAAAACTTATGGTAGACTCAAGACAAGAGCAGGTGCTCCTGTCCAATAATAAGAAAATATGAAAAGGAAGTGTTCCAATATATGTACATATTATATACACAGCAGAAAACACTCATTTTTATAGGTCATGTACATAATACATAATATGTAGGTTATATGAACTGTGTATGTGTATCTTTACATTGCTGTCTGTAGCCAGATCCTTTTTAACAGTGTATAAAATAGATGTACACCTCATTCATTTTAAATGCTGAAGAGCATTCTTTTTATTAACTGGCCCCTGCTGACACTGAGATTACTCTTGCCTTCTTTCTATTACACACTACCACTTCTCCAACATCACTGTGGATAAAAGCCTGAAAGCAGGTTTGTTGTGTCAGGGTGCCACATGCCCTGCAGCAACAGGGCTGGTTTACTTACTGGGAGCAGCTGCCCATTCCCTGCAACTCCAACCCAGGACGTTCTTACTCTTTTGAATATTTGTCCACCTTCTGGGTCAATGGATTTTTACAATTTTACTTCTTTGATTACAAGTGAGGTTGAATATTTTCATGCTGACTGGTTGGTTGGGTTTTCCTTTTGAGACATGCCCTTGCCCATTTCTTTCTGGGATGGATGATCCCAGTATGTGAAGAGTCATAAAAAGCTAGCTTTCCCTGAAGAAGGGAGGAACTGATGAGAGAACTGTAACCCTGCATACAGTGATACTAAGAATCTTCTCTCAGACTGAGCTGATTGCTTGTTGACAGTTAATTAGCTATTTCTAACTCCCCCTACTTTAGATGCCGTATGAAGACACCTACATCAAGTAGCTTTGTATTAGCCACTTCTATTCGGATTCTGTAATTATCTAAGCAGCCCTGTATGTAACAGCACATCAAAAATGGTGTCTTGTCACTAAGCAACAGCATACAGACACAGGTTAAGTGTATGAGCAGAGCGCAGATCCAAGACCAGTTATGGTACGTAAGCCTAGAGGTGTATGTGAGTGCACAGAGGAATCTGTCTGGATGGTTCAGGTTTCTTTGGGGAGTAGTTAAAAAATGACGGGAGAGCTGGGAATTTAGCTCAGTGGTTCCACCACCTGCCTTGCAAGCACAAGGTCTTGAGTTTGATCCCTCGTACAAAAAAAAAAAAAAAAAAGATGGGGAAATCTGATGGTGTTGGTCCATGTTTACTTCTGTACAATTCTCAGGACTTAAACTTATAATGTGAAGCCAGAACTATCACTTCAGTGCATGTGGATGCAGGATAAGCACCCACTACCATCAGGAAAACTGGAGAGTTTGCTCTTCCTCCTGAGCCTCACTGCCATGGGCACAGTGGAAAAACTGCTGCTGGGTTTGAAAATCTCCATGGTAGGTTGAAAATCTTGGTGAGATTTATTTGCAAGGCATAAAGTCAGAAAGAGCTTCCTGCTATGAAATGGCAAGTTTTCAAGTATACCACGAGCCAGAACTGCCCCAAATAGTCCCCAGTTTCCACCACTTGAGGTGATCTCAGAACTGCTGTGTTATAGGTAGTGGTTTACATGTTAAGTTGCCTTCACCCTTCCTTAAAATACCTTATTCTCCAGTTTTAAGAACTTTTAGGAAATTCCATGGTATACAGACTCCTTGAGGAAACAAGTACTTGTCTTTTTACATTGCCCTACACACACACACACACACACACACACACACACACACACACACACACACACACACACACACACACACAAACACACACACACACACACACGAAAATCACAGCTTTCCTTCCTAGGAGGAAGAAGCCCATGAAATGCTCACACTGGTGTGAGCTGCATCACCTGTAAGATGCTTGAACCACAACTCTACAGCCGATGGTACAGGGTTCCACCACACCTGTACAGCAGGATGCCTGGGGGCACCATGAGAGCCAAAGTTAGCATTAGAAGCCCCATAACCCAATATGTTAGTTTATTATATTAAAACACGGATCTGTAAACTGATGGCATATATGTCTCCTTGGTGTCTTTCTTTTTTCTTTTCTTTTTTTTTTTAGGTACCGGGGATCAAACTCAGGCCCTTGTGCTTGCAAGGCAGGTAGTGGAACCACTCAGCCAAAAACCGGCCCTATGCTTCCTTATTAACATCCAATAAAAAGAGCTGGTACCAGGACTACTAGTAACTAATTCTGAGGTCTGATGAATATAAATGACACTGAGACACCTCAAACCACTCTACTAGGTATGAAAGTACCTGTGACTTCCACTGATAAGAGGGTCTAAGCTGTGGTCTGCTGTCCACATCAGAACAGAAGGAGATGACAAACTTTAGTCAGTGAAAACTTTTGCAAGTTCAGAGTCTCCCTAAACTCTGGGGTCCCCCTGGGTATTGATGCACCTCAGGTCTATATCCCTGCACGAGACTCTCTTCAAGACTTCATTTAGTTCTTAAGATCTGTGAGCCCATTAGACATGAGTAGCTTTCAACAACACTTCAGTATTATTTACTCGGTAAATGCTAACAGATTGGTTTTTATGATTATTCTGAAAGAAAGTAATTCAGGTGATTAGTCTGCATGTTTCTTTGATAAGATCATTCTTTATGATTAATACAGCTAGAAAGCAAATAAAAGTTTTTAAACAGGGAAATGAAAAGACATGTTCAGAAAAGTATTCAAAAATATACACCTTTAAGAACATCTAAATTGTAGCAAATGAACAGTGCTGTCCTCCACCTGTTCCTAGTCCATGTTTGGGGGCCAAGATGTGGTGCAGCTCCATCAGACTCATGCTGACAAAGCAGTCAACCACCTATACTTCTGCCTCTACAGCCTTTGTCTCCTGCCTTGCTTTTGATCCAAACCCTTTTTTAAGGTGCAAATTCTTCTCAGAACCATCTCATCTCCAGAGAAGCTTCCCCAACCCACCCCTGGCAATACCCACATGTGAACACACAGGGAGAAGTATGATTCTAGCATAAAAATAGTTGGCCACATGGTTAACATGATCTTGCCTTTATCGTTGTTCCAAACAACAGGCAGTCCACTCGTCTTACAATCTTCAACCAGTTCTTGCTACCAATGAGTGAAAACCCTTCCTGAAACAAAATAATTAGGCAAAATTAGCAACAGAAGCAGAAAAGAACTAAGAATAGCTATAGCAGGCTGGGTACCTGTTCATTCCATAACTTATGCACAGTGGAGAGGACCAACTGTGGGGTTACCTTCACACCAAGGCCCTGTATCTTGGTGCACTTCTGCATGACAAACCAAGGTTTTTCTTAATCTTTCATATCATAATAAAGGAAATAACCCAGAGAGTCAATGTCCATAGTCATATCTGCTAAAAATACATTACTATGCCTCTAGAATTCACCAAAATATTACTTTTTAGTTCCTGAGAAACAAGAGTTTATTATACTAATCTTACGAATTTGGCAGGCACAACCCTATACACAATGAATTTTCTTTTCAGATTCTTATGAATGGGAAATTCAAGACCATTTGTTTTTGGACTAAATGTTCAGTTCATTTCCGTGTGAAACAACAAACCATTCAGAGGACGGTAGAGGGCACAAGTCTCAAGGAGGACAGCAGCTGGCTCCTCAAGGTGGAAGGGTAAACATCAACTACATAGAACAGACCACCCAATGCGTACAGCAGCTCTCGGACTCAGTCATGTCCTTGTATTTCCTTCTGAAGCCAAGGCTAGACTGTGTTAGCATCCAGCAAAACTAACCCAGAGGCCCCACTCATGTAGTGTGCAGACTGCATGTAAGTGGCCCTTCTGCCCTCATGGGAGCACTCTGAAAAAGGCCTTCCCCAAATCCCTCTTTCTAAATCTATGTATGAAAAGCTGTGACTTCCACAGACATTTCCTTCCTGGGGAAGCAATGTGGATTCATTCTTTGATATTTGATTTTAAGAGTCAACTTGAAGATGCAAATTTTAACAATTTTATCACCAAAAGTAGCATTTTCTTTATTTTTAAACAAAAAAGTGAGTTAGGCAAAGCATTTGTTATGTCTTCTTAAAACTCTCAGTAAGATGGAACTTGTTTTCCCCAAAAATAGAGAATTGTAGTTGCAGATGGCAGTGTATGGGAAAGTGGCGCTCACATACATTGCTGTTAGAGAAGAAACTGATACACCACTACGGAGGATAAGTGGGTCTTCATCACAATTACAAATAAACTGTGACTTGCAACCCAAGTGCTAGGGATTCATTTTATGGATCAGCCTGCACGCGTAGGAAGTGATGCAGATGATATAGGGCACCAAGTAATCCAAAAATGATATAGAGCAAGTAATCCAAATAAGCAAAAACAATCCAAACAAAGCAAGTATTATAACTCCCAACCTGCTAGATACCCAAAACTCGAGTCTGTGTTCTGTAAAATAAAAAAATGAGGGAGCAGACTGGTGAGGAACTCCAAGCCACGCAGAAGCCACTGCAGCATCCCCCCACCCCTCGTCCTCTTGGGCCTCCTGATTGTGCTGGTACCTGGATCCACACTGCAGAGGCACAGGTGGTCATAAAGGACATTTTTTACTGAGCTCCAGAAGATAGAGTGGAAGTGAACAATCGTGATAAGATACATCAGACCTCTGTAGAGATAAGTTGGAGGGATCACCACCTTCCATCAGAACTTGGACTATCTTCAGGGGAAGGGCAGCTGGAATCTGCAGAAGAACCTTGCAGAGTTCAACCCTGCAAGAGGTCAGGGAGCTCACCTCGGGCCTTGCAGCCAGAATTCAGCCTGTATCTCAGGGGTCTGCCATTGGCTAGCTGAGACTAATTGACTTAGTTCTGCACATTGCTGAGTACGTTGTCTTCTGTGACAGCAGAGATATACCCTGAAAAAGGCTCTTCAAATTTTTCTTTCTTTTCCTTTTAAATTTTTATTTTTTTCCATCCTTCAAATTCTTCTTTTTCCCTTCCTTTTTCCTGCTCAGTCTCTTGCTCCCCCACAGTATTCTTCATCTCCCTTTTTGTTCCTGTTCCTTCCCTAATGAGGATTTCTTCTCTCATTTTCCTTCACTCAATTGTCATTAGTTTCAAAGGAAAGTGAATATAATTTAAAGCTTCCCTATTACTGTTAAGTTGTTCTATTCTTGTCTTTGTTCTTGCACTGTGTCTTTCCCTCTTGTCTTCAACAGTTTCCTAGAGTTTGCGAGGTCATTCTGTGTCCTCTGACTTCACTTGAAACCTTCTTCTATTCTTTTACCCATCTATTCTCCTCCCAACTCCTTCTAAGTCCCCATCCTGAAGGGTGAAGTTGCCATACTGAAGAGTTTATTCACTATAAACACTTTGGGCTGGTCCTCAATTTTGATTTAATTCACATGGTTTACAAATGGTCAATTTCTAAACTGTGCTTGATGCTATTGTGTTGCTGATTGTATCAATTGGGTTAAAGGGTTGTGATTGATTTAATGAGTTGTCCTTTATGATATTAGTGTCTCTGAGTCACTAGAGACTCAAAAGTTAAAGAACTGCTATATCAGGAAGATCAAAGTACTAACCCAGGAATTAAACCAAAGAGCCCAACAACAAAAATAAAAATGAGCAAACATTTAAGCAAGGTACAAATACAGACTTCCAGTTCACCAACAGCAAATTCTAGGGGAAACAAGGTGGAAAAGTCTGACAACCACTAGGACACCCTGAACTCATAGCACAGGAAGTAACAAAATAGATCAATCAGGCTTTAGAAAAATTCAGAACAGAAATAGTTTCCCAGATAAGTACAGAGATGGTGAGCACAATGAAAGACATGATTAGAGACTCTAGAAAAGAAACAGACAAAAAATAGATGAGCTCAGGACCATGATAGAAGCTATGAATGCCCAACATAGGAAAGAAATGGAATCCATGAAACAGATTCAAATAGATATACAGGAGATTAAAAACTGTTGAAAGCATTCACAGCAAGAGAAACAAATGTGAAGATAGGATTTCAGATATAGAAGATAGGATTGCAGTCAATGACCATGAAAAAGAGAGATCTCTTAAAAACAGTAAGGGACCATGAGAAATCAATTCAACAACTCCTAGATGATACAAAGAAGAATAACATAAGACTGATGAGAATCTATGAAGTTGCAGGATAAAGTACAAATGACTTAAAAAAAACTGTTCACAGAAATAATGACAGAAAACTTCCCAGAGGGGAAGAATTTGATATACAGATAAGAGAAGCATATAGGACTCCAATTAGCCATAATAAAAAAAAAATCTACACCTAGACATATAACAGTCAAGATCCCGGAAACCCAATAGAAGAACAAAATACTGCAAACAGTCAGAGAAAGAAATCACATGCAAAGGAAAGCCCATCAGAACCACAATAGACCTTTCAACACAAACCCCCAGGTCAAGGAGAGCCTGGAATGAGGTATTTCAAGTCCGAAGAGAAAACAACTTCCAACTTCCAACCTAGACTGATGTATCCTGCAAAACTCTCTTTTAAAATGAATGGGGAAATAAGATACTTTCATGACAAAGAACACCTGCGAAACTTCATGAATACCAAACCAGTACTACAAACAATTCTAAACAATATCCTAGAAAAATACAATGAAAGTCATAACACCTTAAGGCCCAGCAGAGCAAATAAATTAGGCAAGGCAAGAAACTAAAGGGAGGGGGGAAAATTAAGAAGAGCCAACAGCAGGACAATAACATGACAATGATAAATCAATACATATCAGTTATAACCATCAATGTCAATGGCCTCAATTCACCAATCAAAAGAAATAGACTGGCAAAATGGATTAAGAAGGAAAATCCAACAATATGTTGTATACAAGAAATACACCTAGTTCAAAAAGAAACTCATAGACTGACGTGAAAGGATGGAAAACAGTTCTCCATGTGACAGGAGCCCAGAAAAAAGCAGAGGTAGCTATCTTATTCACAGCAGATAAAGAAGATAAAGTAAATTTCAAACCAAAACTGACTAATAGAGACAAAGAAAGCCTCTACCTGCTTGTAAAGGGAACAATCCAAGAGGAAGAGATGACAATCATAAATATACATGCACCAAATATTAATGCCCCAACTATATAAAACAAATATTAAGGGACATGAAAAACCAAATAAGCACTAATCCAATTGTTGTGGGGACCCAAATACCCCACTATCACAAATAGACAGATCATCTAGACAAAAAATCAACAACAAAATACTAGAACTGAACCAGGCTTTTGAACAAATTGATTTAATAGACGTCTACAGAGTGTTCCACCCCCCAAAAATCAGAATATTCATTCTTTTTGGCTGCACATGGGTCATTCTCCAAAATAGACCACATATTAGCTCACAGAACATGTCTAAATAAATGCAAAGGAATCAAAGTTATCCATAGTGCAATTAATCTGGAAATCAATAGCATAAGAAACCATAAGAACTTCACAAACACATGGAAACTGAACAATACTCTCCTAAATAATCAATGGGTCACAGAGGAAATTAGAGAAGAAATTAGTCAGTTTTTACAAATAAATGATAATGCCAATACAACATACAGGAATCTTTGAGACACAATGAAAGCAGTTCTATGTGGAAAATTCATAGCAGCAAATGCTAGGAAAACAGAGCGAATCCAAATAAACAATTGAATGATGAATCTTAAGACTCCTAGAAAAAGAAGAGCAAAAAAAACCCAAAGCTCGTACAGAGGAAATTATAAAGATCAGAGCAGAAATCAATAAAATGGAAACTAAGAGCGATATAAAAAAAATCAATGAACCGAAGAGTTGGTTTTTCAAAAGAATAAATAAAATTGATAAACCTGTAGCCAACCTTGTCAAAAAAAGGAAAGAAAAGGCTCAGATCCACGCAATAAGGAACAAAAAAGCTGAAGTCACAACAGATCCAGCAAAAATCCAGAGGATCATCAATACCTATTTCATGAACCTATACTCTAATAAAATGGAAAACAGAAGAAATGGACAGATTTCTTGATACTTATGAATTATCAAAGTTGAACAAAGAAGATAAAAAAATTCTAAACACCTCAATTACAATCAGTGAAATTGAAAATGTAATTAAAAGTTTACCAACTAAGAAAAGCCCAGGTCCTGATGGATTCACT